GACGTAGGGGAGGAAAATGTCACTGGTGACGGGCAGCAGCGTCATCAGTAAATAAACCTACGCTCTGCGATCGCCAACCCGCCTGCCCAGCGTGGCGATTATGGGCAAATCCTTCATGCACAAGAAACTCAAGCCACGGCCCCCAGTTCCCGGCAGCCCCGCTATTCCTGGTCACGGTGGCGACCACGGTAACGGTGGGGCGGGGGGTGCCAAGAATCTCCGGGCTACGGGAGGCCACCACAAAAGACTGACCCTGGCGACGTACAACGGACGCACGCTACGGCTTGACTCGCATCTGGCGCAACTCGAGGTGGAACTTGGAAAGATTAGGTGGCACATTTTAGGGTTAAGTGAAGTCCGAAGAGAGGGGGAGGACACCATAACCCTCGAATCGGGCCACCTAATGTACTTCCGCGGGGGAGACCAACAGTCCCAAGGTGGCGTTGGGTTTTTGGTAAATAAGTCCCTTGCCGATAACGTTGTGGAAATGTCCAGCGTGTCGAACAGGGTAGTGTACCTTATTATAAAGCTCACCGAGAGGTATAGCCTCAAGGTGGTGCAAGTGTACGCACCGACCTCGACACACTCGGACGACGAAGTGGAGGATATGTTCGATGATATATCGAGGGCCCTCCACTCCACTACTAAGACCCACTACAACGTTGTTATGGGGGACTTCAACGCTAAAGTGGGAGTACAGAATTGCAGCGAATCGGTAGTAGGATCCCATGGATTTGGAAGCAGAAATCATAGGGGGCAAATGCTCGTCAACTTCCTCGAACAGCAGGGGCTCTTCTTGATGAACTCTTTTTTCAAGAAACAGCCCCAAAGGAAGTGGACATGGCGGAGCCCCAACACTATGACTAAAAATGAGGTACGATTTCATCATGACGGACAAGAGGTACATATTCAGAGACGTCTCCGTGATCAACAGGTTCAATACCGGTAGTGATCACCGACTCGTCCGGGGCTCTCTGAATATCAACTTTAAGGCCGAGCGCGTCCGTTTAATGAAATCCAGGCTCCAACCTACTTTGCTCCAATCTATAACAGGATCTGAAACGTTCCAGTCAAATCTGGAGAACCGATTTGCTGCCGTGGAAACCACATCAGACGTAAACCAAAACCTCGAAAATGTGGTTCGGATTCTCAGGGAAGAGGGTACGAAACTATGTGCGCGTAAGGGCAGGAAGTCAAAGCTTTCGGAAGAGACTTTAGGGCTAATGAAGAACGACGTGAAAACCCACCCGTCACTTCGTCGGCAAAGCGGTCTCTAAACCAAGAGATCAGTAAGCACGTACGACACGACCTCCGATGCTCCAATACTCTCTCGATCGAGAGAGCGATCGAGCAGAATCGGTCCAAAGTGTTCGTACAATCTCTTGGAAGAAGCCATCTGACGAAGTTGACCACAGCAAGTGGGGAAGTTGTTGCTTCAAAGCCGGCAGTCCTTTCGGAAGTGGAAGACTTCTACAGCCAGTTATACGCATCACATGCATCTCGACCTGATCCCGGAAACGAGGATTCTAGAGCCACATTAACACGCCACTTCACCGAAGACCTGCCAGAAGTCAGTATTGGCGAAATCGAGATTGCTCTTGGACAGCTTAAAAATGGAAAAGCCCCTGGAGAGGATGGTGTTACAACAGAACTCTTGAAGGCTGGAGGTAAACCCGTACTGAGGGAGCTCCAAAAGCTTTTTAACACTGTCCTGTTCGAAGGGAGAACTCCGGACGCGTGGAGTAGGAGTGTTGTCGTCTTGTTCTTTAAAAAGGAGGACAAGACCCTAATTAAGAACTATCGACCCATATCCCTTCTTAGCCACGTCTATAAGCTGTTCTCAAGAGTGATCGCGAACCGTCTTGCGCGAAGATTTGATGACTTCCAACCACCGGAACAGGCTGGGTTTCGGAGCGGATACGGCACCATAGACCACATCCACACAGTGCGGCAGATTATACAGAAGACTGAGGAGTACAATCAGCCCCTGTGCTTAGCATTTGTGGACTATGAGAAGGCCTTTGACTCGATTGAAATCTGGTCTGTCCTGGAGTCCTTGCAGCGTTGCCAAGTCGACTGGCGATACATCCAAGTGATAAGATGTCTCTACGAAGCCGCCACCATGTCTGTCCAAGTACAGAATCAGCAAACAAGTCCCATACCGTTGCATCGTGGAGTGAGACAAGGGGACGTTACTTCCCCGAAATTGTTCACTAATGCAATGGAGGATATGTTCAAGACGCTGAACTGTAAACGACATGGCATCAACATAAATGGCGAACGCATCTCTCACTTGCGATTTGCAGACGACATCGTCATCATGGCAGAAACCCTGCAGGACCTACAACAGATGCTGAATGACCTGGCTGACTCTTCTATACGCTTCGGCCTACGGATGAACTTGGATAAAACCAAGGTCATGTTCAATGAACATGTTCTACCGGAACCGATTGCAATACACGGTGCCGTTCTCGAAGTTGTTCAAAAATATGTATACCTCGGGCAGACATTGCAGTTAGGTAGAAACAACTTTGAGGACGAGGTGAATAGAAGAGTTCAGCTAGGTTGGGCAGCGTTTGGGAAGCTACGTCAAGTCCTGATATCGTCGATCCCACAGTGCCTAAAGACGAAAGTCTTCAATCAGTGCGTCCTACCTGTAATGACATACGGAGCCGAGACGTGGACACTGACGGCACGGCTGATCCACAGGTTCAAAGTCGCTCAACGCGCTATGGAAAGGGCTATGCTGGGCGTTTCTCTGAAAGATCGCATCAGAAATGAGGTAATCCGACAGAGAACCAGAGTTATCGACATAGCCCACCGGATTAGCAAGTTGAAGTGGCAGTGGGCTGGCCATATTTGCCGAAGAACCGATAACCGTTGGGGTAGACGAGTTCTGGAGTGGAGACCGCGTCTAGGCAAACGTAGTGTAGGACGTCCTCAGGCACGATGGAGTGACGATTTGCGCAAGGTGGCGCGGCTGGCAGGAGCTGGATGCGAGTAGCCCAAGATCGATCTGAATGGCGTGCATTTGGAGAGGCCTATGTCCAGCAGTGGACTATGATAGGCTGTTGATGAAGGAACATACACACAGACAGACAGACAAAAATTTTACTAATTGCATTTTTGGCATCAGTATTGATCACTAATCACCCCCTGATAGTTATTTTGATAATATATTTCATGTACAGAATTGACCCCTCTACAAATTTATTATAAGTATAGATAACATTTTGATTTTCGTCTAACATTAAAAAAAACACTGACTACACAGACTATCTTTTTGATACTGTAATATCTAAAAAAAACCAACTCGGAATAGTGTTAACTTCTTCACGTTTTAACATCAGGTGGGGTAAAGTCATTTGCCTACCACTCGTTATAAAAAAAACTTGATAACATTAAAATTTATTATTTAAAGGCTCATCACAATTCGAAGAACTATTAAGAAATATTTGTGCTGTTTATTTTATATACCTATATAGATAAATGGGCACGTCTTTGGTTTTTCGGTGAAGTATAACACCCATCTAAGGTTGGCAGGGGATCTTATCTGGCATTCTTTATGGTGACATAAATAAGGGTCTTTTATTCAGTGCGCGCAGCGGTCATCGATTATATTTAAAATATGTTCAGTTGATGTGCTGCTTACATAGTTTCACACCATATTTCTGGCAGAAAAACAATGCATCAAGAGAAACAACGAACGACATTACATTATTAGCAGAGTTATTATCATCCCAAAAGTCAACATAGAAAAAATTAAAACTTACAGCGCGCCGCATCACAGGATAGGGCACAAGCTGAGATGAAGCATCAGTTATTTGTTTATTTTTGCTGCACGTCTTAACTTTTTAGACCTAAACATAAAAAAAAATTCAATAGTTTTCGTTCAATTACCTTACTTTTATAGAACACTAGTGGGTTTTTTTGTTTTCTTCCAGGCACCCGTCTCGTCAAACAGAAGTGGGTATGAAATCCTAATCATATTCTAAAAAAGCATGAGCGAGAAAGACGTACAATCCTAATGGACACCCTACAGCTGGCTGCAAGGTTATGTCAGATTCTTACTGACTAAAACACACCCGTAGTTCATGCTTTTGGCCGGAAGAGCCTTACAAGCTTCATCTGCTGCGATCATCCCCTGAGGGGGATGATGCGGAACACTAGTGGCCCGCCCTCGCTTCGCTTCGGCGTAGTCTTTGGTTTTTGTTCTAATATATAGCCTATGGCACTTAAAAATAACGTGGTTTTCTATTGGTAATAAAACTTTTAAAATCGGTTCAGTAGATCTAGAGATCCTTACCCCACAACCTTACCAACTCACAAACTTTCATCATCATCAGTCTATTAATGTCCTCACTGCTGGGGCATAGGCTTTCCCTATGGATGGAATAGGAAGATAGAGCCATGACCCACCAACGCGGGCCCAATGCGGATTGGTGGGTGCTAACGACGCAGATGAAACCGAGACCAACTGCTTGACATGCATTTCGAAGCACGGAGGAGCTCAAGATAGTAAATTTTTGGTCACCTATCCAATGAACGACCACTGCAAAAGTTGCTTAGCTTCAACGATCGCAGCCGAACGCGCTAACCACATGCGCCATCGAGCTCCTCACTCACAAACTTTACCTCTTCATAATATTAGTAAAAAGATTAATAAGAAAGCGTCCATTTTACATTCATTATGCTTTGAAATAATTTTCAAATTAACAAAAAAAGTATTTCATTCACTGTTGCATGAATTTCATAATTTACAATAATAGTGTACCTATAGGCGTACAGTATGTTGATTGCATTGCCGATGCGATCATTAGGGACTCCTTTGAAACGTCAGTTCGGTGTAGACGCCTTGCAGTTAACTAGGTTATATGGGCGTATTGCCTACGTGGCAGGCATCTAGGCCTCTTTAGGCGCTGCGAAATAGTCACATTATGATAATAATAGACAATGTATCGGCTAGTAGCTGTATGTAAGATCCTGTTATGTAGAAAGCTATCAGATACTTAATTTTATGAGAGATCTCGATAAGCTCTGTGATATTAATTAATTTACTTTGAACTATATGAATGTTAAATTTACAGTTCTTTATTTCTGAATCTTCAGATCGAAGTTGTACTTTTACCGCCTGAAAATAGTCGAATACTGCATTTGTTTCTTAGGTTTTCACGCACATCACACATTAAATAAAACTAGTTTTAACGGGTTAATGCACGAACTTTATTTATTTATTGACGTTTTGCAGCCTTTTCAGGTCTGCATCGTCAAAATAATGTTTTTTTATTTACTTTGTCGAGCTACCTTCGAAAGACTTTTGTTGAGCGTTCGGTTATTTCATTGGAAGATTTTGAAAATTTTATTGTCTATGTATGAATTTATTAGTTAATTTAGTTAATAAAGTACTTTATTTAAAATTCTTTTTTGTAATTTTTATTTGACCTTAACTACCGTAAACTACCACCGGTTCGAAAATTGGGAGACCCCTTTCTGAGAAGAACCGGCGAAACAAACTCAGAGAGGCTTTCTATCTCCTTCTTACGAGTATGTTAAATCATGCAAACAAAAAGAACTAATAGTATCTGTTGGTCTTACATTGTGTGCTCGGGGTTGGGATTTTATTTCTTGTATAATGGGTTCCCAAGCTGGTGGTATATACCAACCATCTTCCCTATTGAAATTTGGATATTTTTTAATCTCAATAGCCTCGCGTATCATTCTAGGAATGAATCGTTGCTCAATTGCAAGGATCTGTGGTTTATCAAATCTAATGGAATGGTTTGGTCCCCCTTATGCATGTTCACACACTGCAGACTTATTTTCGCGCCTATGTTTCATATCTGCAATATGTTCTTTTACCCGAGTTCCAATACTCCTCTTTGTTTGCCCGATGTAGGAGAAACCCACAGTCGCATCCACGTTTGTTGACACCAGTAACTCGAAAGGGTATATTGCACTTGATAAGTCGTAGAAACTTGTTGAACTTTTTTGGCGGCTTGAAGTAAGTATTGATCGAAGCACGCTTCAGAATCCTCCCAATCTTGTCAGTGACTGCTTTAATGTAAGGTATTATAGCAGGTTGTCGGTCGACTGTGCTAGGTTTGGTGCGATTGTGACGGCGACGTGGTACATTCAGATTATTATCCTTCAGTACTCGCTCGACATGCTAAAGTTCAGCTGCCAGGTGTTGTTTGTCACAGATACCCCGTGCTCTCTGAAACAAACAGTTTCCTACGGCAGTTAATTGTTTCGGGTGATGGTGTGAGTATAAGTTAACCTTTATGTTTCGAGAACAAATTATTTGACGCGTCAGATAAATAGTAATACTGAATTACTATTTATCTCATTTTATACTAGGGGTCACTTGTATTCACTGTTCCCAAATTAAATTGACTAACAGCTATTTTCAATAAACTAATCTGCAATAAAATTTTAGCTTATTTCGTTTCATAGGAATAGTTGTGATTTTAATATAAATTAAACTAGGAAACTAAACTTTAACCCTCTTATTAATAAACAAGGAATAAGCTTAAGACTAGTTACGCCGTGTTTTGTTCATGTCACTCAAATGCCATTTGTCATTCCATGAACAGAGACAAAACATGGAGTAACTAAGCTAAGCTTATCCTACGTTTATTCATAAGTTGGTAACTGGATAATAGACCTATATTTCACTGGCGATCGATAATTAAAAATGGCAGTTAAATAGGACGTTTAAACTGGATATGGGTTAAATTTGATATAAGAATGTTGGTGCAAATGACCTTAAGTATCGAATAGATCAGTCGAGAGTCATTGGGAATATCGTCACGGACGCTGTAGGCGACAGAAAGGCATTGCTCATCGGAATCAAAGGGTTCTCTACTCGTTGGTCGACGAGGCAATTTGCAGCTCAGAGGTGCCCAAATTGAATTTATGTAACCTCTCTCTTAAACTTACAGTGCTAACACACAGCGCGCAAGTTTGCACAACTTGTACATAACAATTGTTACAACTTGAACATGTTATAATTAAATAAATAAACAATTCCAACACTCACACCAATTAGCCTAGCCCTAAAGTCCCTACATCCCTACACTGTAGGCTTGTGTAATGGGTTACTAGGGCAACGGATAGAGTACATATACTGATAAATATATATGTATATTTATATAGAAATACATATAAAACTGGAGTACAAATGCTTGTATTCATCACACAAACATCTGTCCTCACCGGGACCACATGACATACCACTCGGCCACGGAGGTCGTCAAGGTAATTATGATCCGATGTGAGAGAAAGCTTCTAGAGGACACAGTAATTGGTAGTATTAACTGTAGTTACGTTAATTACTCAAAATTTCGATTAAACATTACAAGTACTATTTGAACTTCAGTAATGTATGTTTAAATACTTTAAACTTTTAAAAAAAATGAATCAGTATGAAAACTTGAACATTCAATTTTGTACTAGGAGTAATTAGAAGTCGCATGTTGCTAACGTAAAAGTCCAGGTAAGGTATTTATTTCGCGAACTATAGCTATATATCTTATAAGTTAACCTTTATGTTTCGAAACAAATTATTTGACGCGTCAGCCACAAGTAGGGTTATCAACTTTTTCCTATCAAATATAGTACCTATTTTCGAAGCGTTACTTCTAAAATCACAGTAGCTGGCAAACAAATGGAAAAATATAGTATGTGGTTAAAATATTTACTTTATTTTTAAGTAAATTTATTTTTGCTGCTAATTGCCTAACTAATAATATTATAATAATGCATTAAGCAAAATATAGGAGTTTCGCCTACTATATATTTTTTTAGAATAAAATAGTATCTGGTGCCCCCATATAGTAGAATATTATACAGTAGGGTTGATAACCCTAGCCACAAGCCACGATTGATGAATGTGCAAAGTCGTAACCATAAAGCATCCAGCGGGTTAATTCTTATCATAACTCTTAAGGACGAACCGAGGTAGCATCACGTAACGTACGCATCTTACGTCTGATGATACTAACAATTCAATGGATAAACTAGATTTTGATAGAAAATGATTTACATCTGTGATGCTCGTATTAATTATCCATAACCCATGGCTGTCAGCCCCTTCTTATAGTTTAATTACGCGTATAACTTGTTAAACCGTATGACAATGTGTCCGCTGAGGTGCATTTTATCAAGAATGGTCAATAGAACCGCACACAGGCAGTCAAAAGGTATTGGTGTCCCTTTTAGACTTACAATGTTACAAAGAACATACCTACTATGCTTGTTTTAATCCTGTTTAAATGGAATCTAGATTGTTCACTCAATGGTGGATTTCGGTTGTTTGTTGTTTTTTGTTTTTCTATTACTTAAAAGCTCACAACATCTTATGTCTTAGTCTGTTTTGAAAACTCTTGTTTACTTTTTGGTATTCTTTCAGTTTTTTCTATAAGAGGAAATTCAATTCATCATTATCAGACTAATAATGTCCCCACTGCTGGGGTACTGGCCTTTCTTATGGATACAATAAGGAGATTGGGCCATGACTTACCTCGCGGGCCCATAAGAATTGGTGGGTGCTTACGGCTGCAGGTGCAACCGGGACCAACGGCTTAACGTGTCTTCCGAAGCACAGAGTAGCTCGAGATAGTAAATTTTTGGTCACCCATAAAATGATCGACCACTGCGAAAGGTGCTTAAATACAATCATCGCAACGCGCTAACCATTTGCACCATCGTGCTCCTCGAATGCATTTATTTATTCTCAATTCAAATTCTGTTGATAGTGAGGTGAGGTAGCAGGTAGCATAGTGGATTTTCCGTTTGAATTGAAGATTTCGTCTGGAGGCACACAATGAAATAACATTAACTTTTGTTGGTGTTCTGTTTCTGTCGGTGAGTAAGGTTCCAAAGCTCCACGGGGTTAGTGGATAGGGCCAGGGTAGGCAAAGGTATCGCAAGCGTCTACAAGCTTTAGCGGCCGGTTAAGATCAGGCGGGCCATAATTAGCTTGTTTGCCACCATTTTGAAATGAAATACACAAGTTTTTAATTTAATGTAGGTTTTGTATTCTAAATTAAAGATGAATATTTTTTCAAATCAGGCTGGCTATTAAATAAAATCGTATCACCTCTTTTCGTTGAAATCTAACACACAATTAATTAATTTCGTTTAATCAACAAACAGTTAATCAACTGGGGTTCATTTGAAACTAAGACAGACAGCAGTTACATTTCAGAGAACAACTTTAGTAACGAGGGCTACGGTGCTTCCAGCCTGGTACCTACGTTACTTTTAACAAAGGTCAGTCCCGGGCTATATCGTCTGTAACGGATGCAATTACTCGCAGTTGCCGTTAGTGTCACCAGCTCAATGTCGCAGATCGGGACAGGTGCTTTATGATGTCTTACTTGTTCATGTAGTTTATCTACAGAGAAAACTAATCCTAACCGATACATGTGAAATACTATAAACCATTTTACGCAATAAAAATGACATTTTATTCAATATTACTATGGATTTGTTACAATGATGTTTAGTGTTATTTGGTTCAGATGACATTGAAATTTCAGTAACATCAGCAGCATACTGTAATCCAAAATCTGCCAAATTAGATTCCAATGATATCTGTAATGGCTTAGAAATAAGGTCCAAAATTAAGAAATTTATTTGTCACAGATTGCTGTAATACTACTTTAAATTTATTATTGGACATAATCTTGTTGAATTCTTATATTTTGTGTACAAATCAACGAATCGGAAATGATATGGAATACGAACTGCGCTAAAAAGAGGTTACACAGAAACTGTAACCAAGTGGGCGGGGCGAAAAAATGCGATCAACACACCGATCATGGTATTGGTTGGGATTTCCGTTAAACATTATCTTACCTAATGAATGGATAGCCGAATTAATTTGCAGATATATGAATTTTCTAATTACCTATTTTGTTTTGTCGGTGTGGGTGTCGAGTTAGTATTAAAGTTTAGTTGTATACGTTTGGAACCATGTTTTAGCGGCATTTGTTAGAGAGTAGTTTCTTCATACTAGCTGTGCCCCGCGGTGCTATCCGCGGTTTATTAGGGATATATTCCCGTAGTAAAACGTAGCCTTTCTGTTAATCCAGGGTGCCAGCTAACTATACCAAATTTTATTAAAATCATCCAGCCGTTTAGACGTGAAGAAGTAACAAACATACACACACACACTTTCACCTTTATAATATTAGTGTGATTATTTCTAATTCATTGGTACAAATCAAAGTTTTGAATGTGTCTCATAAACCAGAATATTTGGCAACAATAGTAGCGCGCTCGCTGGACGAATGCCCGTCGCATTGTCAAAGCTGCAGGAACAAGGCAATTTGCGCCGAATGCTTTCCACTGAATCCAATTTAATGGTGCTACTTCAGGTTAAAATATGCAGCTGGTTGGTGCTTAACGACAGTTCGGGCGAGGACGACTAAGAAACGTCTAGCAATGCCAATCAATGTATTTGACGTTTTCTGAGCATTAACTAAGGTTAATGTGAGATATCTATTCGATAATGAGAATATTTTTGTGAAAGCGGTAAGATGCGGAGAATATCCCGCATACATAATATTTACTATAAATTTTTATTTTAAAAAATAGGCTCACCTCACTAACTGTAAGATATGATTCATAACAAAAGAAGAACAACAATCAAATATAAAAGAGAGAAAAAATGCCAGGAATAAAGGTAGCGGATAACACTTTTGGAGGTATCAAGTCGAGATGGAAGCCTAAATTGTAATGTTTACAAGTTAAATTAGATGAAGGGCGGTGGAAGTTATTCATAATGGAGGCGCTCACCTTTTTGCGGGGGACTCTAGGAGATTACGCACAATTTGTCCTGCCGGATTCTCGGCTTTCGCGACAAGGACGCTTTCGCCTATTTGTATACTTAATTCGATTCTCGTCGGGGATGACGGAATTAGAAATAATTGCGATTGCTCAAGGTAAAAATTTCGCCTAATGAAAGGTTGAAGCGACCATGCTTAATAACTCGGACATTTTAATTTAAAAATCCGATGAAAATGAGATTTTTCATAATAAAAATTAATTGCTTCCAAAGCGGGAGAAAAAATATTTTTATTTTTTGTGTTCATTAACAGAAGAATTATAATAGCGATTATCTAAGAGAGATAAAGGATTATTATTATTATCTATAGGAATGTTTTATCAGGGAGGTAATTTATAAGGACTACTACTATACATATAAAATTGTCGAATTTTTTCGCCTTCATTTCCTTACTTTAATTAATTAATTTATCTTTTGGGTAGTTTCTCCCGCTGTCAGTGGTATCTTAATTTTTAATTCAAGATTTCAAAACTTTGTGGTGGACCAGCTTAACACGCCATAGGAGAAAACACAACAGTTAGCACCTTAGATTTGGTATTCCTCTCGTGTCGAGAGAAAAATATTTATAGTATGCAAGAATAAAATCAGGTAATAAAAACTTCTAAAATGCTTTCTATTGAAATTAAAACGTAATAACAAAACTAAAATAAATTAATATAAACTACGATAAAACTTAGGTGGTGTCGGCAGCGGCATATACAATCCTCGTGGTGTTTGTGAACCCGGAACCCTGACGCCATCCGGAGACAATGACAAGAGGATCACCGACTCGCACGAAGCCTGTGCTCATGGCCCATTTTGTGCAAAAGTTAACTCTTTTCTCGAGGTCATGCTCCCAGTCTATATCAGGTGAATCTGGAAAAGATGTAAAACTTAAGCACCAACGTAAGTATACTCATGGTCTCGTGTAAGGTTAGAATTCCAGTAGTGAAGCGAGGCAAGGCGAGAATTAAGATAACGCCTGTCAACCAAGGTTTGGCATTCAAAGTTTCAGTTTCTGGGGTCTACCCATCGATTAAATCTTCGCTTAAATGATAATTTCATACTTGCAGTACCGATTCACCATACTAGGTTTGTCTCCAATTCATTCACCCTTACTGCCATTCGGCTCTGAAATGCACTTCCTCTAGTCGTTCGAAACGCTCAAAACAGGACTGTTTAAGAGCTCGGTGCGGAAACATTATATACATCTATCGCACAGTGCTTCAGTTGAATCAGAATACTAAAATCGGACACTAAATTATAGGTACATTATGCAGTTATTTATGTATATATGTGTTAATATGTATGTGTATGTATTAAACGATATTTAATTTTGATTTTCTCATTGTTTGATCTTTGCTCTTTTCTATGATTTACTCTGCACGTTTTTTCTGATTGACTGGCAGAGAATGCCATGCTGGCATTAAGTCCGCCATAATGCAATGTAAAGGCATTAAAGATTAAATAAATAAAGTTAACGCTAGCTCTTGTGCGTTCCGTTTGATTGTTCATTCGCAATGCAATTCGCATGCGATATCTTTTACCAAAATAGCAATATGGTTAAGAATTTCATGTCTGTTCCCACCATTTCGTACACCACATTTTGAGCAGAGAGAGAATTGAAAGGAGATTGCTCAAATTGGCCTAAATGCACAAAAAATATTGGCATATACGATGAATATATTATACAAAGGTGTTGTATAATATATTCATTTTAAAAAGGACTTTTAATTTTACCGGTTTGAAAAAGATACGAATCATTTTTAATGGCTATGGGTGTAGTAACATTCGGCCAAAGACTGATCGAAGTTGTTTATGGTGTCGATTCTGGCTCGATTCTCTAAATCTAAACTTAAATTTGACAACAGTGCACGTTCCTTCCGGTTGACTGGTAGAGAATGCCATGCTGGCATTAAATCCACCATATGCAATGTAAAGGCATTAAAGATTAAATAAATAAATAATAAAAAAAAAACAGTGTATCCTTGTCATTCTCTATACAGAATGAAAAGGACAGACTTATGTTAAATTAAGTTTAGAGAATCACGCAGGAATCGATAACTATATAACATTAAATCAAATCTATTATGTATATTTATTTATTACACTGTGGTATTAATATCCACAACTTTATTATCATTTTCACTACATGCAAATGTGCTAAGACAATTATTATAGATGGTAGGCGACATCATAAAGTCTATTGCCTTACATTTTTCGCCAAACACCTCCATAAACATATTATAAGGTGTGATACACTAAAAATCTAAAATATGGTTTAACGAGAGTTTAAAAATTCTCTCTAATCTGTGGCTCATTCACAATCATCACACAGTTTCTGTCACAGAGTACCTTCCTTATTATAACCGGAAATGCTTAAATGATACCTGATTTTAAAAGTTACTCTTGTGCATCAACTTTAAAAACAGGCAACTATCTGTTAATCTACAAGCTCTATATACATGAATCTAATACATAATTTCGGTACTTGGCTTGATTTCCCTAGTTTACTATATAACTTATTTGTTTTTTATTATTTCAATACCTATGTACCTATTTGCATAAATAACCTCAAAATTGTTCAGTGTATATGGTTTATAGGAGTTCTCAGGGGTGTCCGTCAATAATATTCGTTTCTACAGTAATTTATATATTATTTCGAATCTAGGAAACAACTTTTCATGATTATTGGTTTTTAGGCCAAACATGTATGGAAGCTGAGCAATCTCCTTTTGTGTTCATTCATTTACACGCCGTATTGTGTTGCCATTCTTAACCGGTGCAATTTCAATTTTAATAGCTGTTAAATTTCCTGTTCATAATGTTGTAAAAAGTACATACACACATCAAAAGTGTCTAGGGATCAACATATATTTTTGCAATAACTTTTCTCCTGATTGATATTAATTAAAATTTTCTTTAAGGATTCATCAAATAAAGTGTTTTCGTTTGTCACAGTAACGATAAACCAAGTCACCTTTGCATTAATAAAGAAATTTGCCATTTTCCTAATAAAGGGATTTTTGACATTTGAACCACTAACACAAAAGTTCGAAAAAAAGACTGAAATAACAGTTTTCTCTAAAATTTTATTGGGTAACTTAAACAATTAATAATCCGTATTTCTACCGCGAACACTAACAACACAAGAACATCGGTTTGGCATACTCAAAATGAGTTCATCCAAATCACGCTGTGGAATGGCCGCCCATGTTCGTTGCAACAACAAAAAAAGGTCTTCTTGCGACTGGATACCCTCCATATTCGGCAGAGCTCTTCTCTGTAGCATATCCCATGCATGCTCAATCGGGTTCAAGTCTGGCGACTGAGCAGGCCAGGGCAGGACATTGATGTTAGCTGCGGCGAGAGTCTGTCTTACAACTCTTGCGGTGTGCGGTCGTGCATTATCATGCATTAACTGAAATAAGGGACCGATTTGCACTTGTAGAGGAACGATGACGTCTGATACAATCGTCTCAGCATAAATTTGAGCGTTGAGGTTGCCTCTGATCCAAATCAACTCAGTTCTTCCGCCGATCCAAATACCCGCCCATACCATGATGGTTCCACCACTATAAGGATGGACTTCCTGGCAGGATTTTAATCGCTGTTGGCGTCCAGGGGTTCTCCAGTGTCGTATACGTCTTGTATCCGGTCTCATACCAAAACGAGACTCATCAGAAAAGCACACGAAACGCCATTGTTCTTCTGCCCAATTTCTGTGTTCAAGAGCCCATTGATATCGAATCCTACGATTGTGCATTGCTATAGGTGGTACCCGTAGCGGTCTTCGGGAATGAAGGTTCACTTCATGCAAGCGGTTTCTGACTGTTTGGTCGCTAATTAAGTTCCCTGAAGAGTGATGAAGCCTCACGGCTAACATCATGGCGGTTATTGTTGGAGCTCTTCGAGTTAAGATTTGAATGTATCGGTCTTGTCTCCGTGTGGTGCAGCGATACCGTCCTCCATGGCGCTCAGCCACGGTACCAGTGCTTCGGTATCGTGTCCAAAGTCGACTGATAACACTCTGACTTGTATTCAGAGCTAAAGCCACAGTACGTTGCCGGGAACCAGCTTCTATCATTCCCACGGCTCTGAGCATTTCTTCCCTGCTTAAATGACGTCGCCGCTCCATAATAACGTTGGTTTTAATCAGTAGTAGGGAAACAGTAGCACTAATAATGTCTTCAATGCGTTGTATGTTTTTATAGGGAAAATATTGACAGCTGATTTTGATCTTTTACTCGAATTTGATTCACAGTTCCTGATTCAAATTATGAAATGCACCAAAAAGGATCCATATAAATTTATAAAATCGTAAATTTATTACAAAGCCACATCTCAATCTCAAGAAATCCGCATAAAAATGCTTGATCCCTAGACACTTTTGATGTGTGTATATAGGTGCCTTTATAAGGCCGAATCTTTGATGCTCTACTTTTGGTTTTTCTATTTATGGTTACGTAAATTTGCGGTAGTAGTAGTAAGAGGTAGACAAACTCTCTTTGGTCTATTCGGATACAATTGTGACGTTTTATTTTTGTATACCTTCATAAACAATCGGGATGATACCCCTCCATAAGTGCATTATCCTGGCTATAGGCGCATATCTAGTGACTGCCACAATGGGGCATCTTGGTCTGTACTTTGCTACAAGTTCGGCTGACTTTCCTGTAGTGGTTACAACTACTATAGCCGCTGCTATAACTCTGTGAGCTGCCATAACAGCTGCTAAGGCTGTGCCTGTTACTTGGTCACAAGGAAGCGGCGTCTGAAATAAATTAGACAAAAATAAAAGAACATTGAACTATAACATTCTAATAAGTAAAATAAGAAGAAAACTTGTTAATTTTAACCGCCATGCATGGCGATTACAAAATCGCTGGCTGAAATTTGACTATTTAAGTTTGAATGCTTTTCAGTTTTTTATGTTAAAGAGTACACTTTCATAATCATTGTGTGTGTGTGTGTGTCCATCGCATAGTAGTGTGTTACTCACTTTTTCTATTAAATCAGAGAATAATTGTTTCGACCATATACAAGCTTCGGCTTCCTTGCATGCGTTTGCTAAGTAAGCCACTGTCTCTTCAGGATATAGTCCTATTGCTGTTTCTGCTGTGAGAATCAGTCCGTCGGCACCATCAATAATGCAATTACCGACATCCAAAAGTTCAGATCTAAGCGGAACCTTCTTGTACCTCATGCTACTCAAGAGATGGGCACTGATAAGAACCGGAACGTTAGCCTGGAAAATAATTCTTCGGTTTAGATATTTTTATGTTTAGAATAAAATTCAACTAGTCCCCAATACATTTTTCTTGGGTGGCGCTCATAATACTGACAGTCAATGCATCAACATTCGCTGTATTAAAAACGCTCCATCGACGAGTTAACGAATCGACAGTACCCCAAATTCATAGTACATGTACATACGGTAGGCTAGTCTTTATGGTGGCCATTCACCATCATGCAGCTCGAGCCAAAATCCTTCCGTCAAGTGGCATGTTCTTCCACAATATCTCTCAAACACGGTCAGTTTCGCTTGATCAAGTGCCATGATGGTGAGTGACCACCATTACGTTAGTCAGTGAGCTTCGTGTTTCTATCATTTTACTAAATTAGTTCTCATCGCTGGGCGTTTTGCTCTTAGCCATCACTCATAGCGGCAAGGACTTGGTCAAGCCGTAACGTCGCAGTACCGCCACGATACCTGATTCGCATTATCAAACAGTTCGTATCGAATATGGTGTCGTTTTTCTCGCGTATGAAGACAGCTCTTGTGTGTTATATTACCTTATTTGCTCGAGCTATCATATTCTTCTGTGCTATGACTAACTTCTTTGGAGTTATGTCTGAGCCTAATTCTTGTCTTGTTATGATAATGCCATTGGCCACCTAGAAAAGTTAATACATTTTTATGTATCATTATTTTTCAATGACACGGTAGAACTTACTTTTTAAATTGGATAAATTAAATCTAAAGAAAATATAAAATTCCACGTGGACCAGGCAGCAGACGGGACTTGCCTGGTCCTCGTGGATTTTTTTCTAGTTATATTTTCTTTAGATTTAAACATCAAGCAGTTACATGCTAAAAAAATTAAAATTATAGCTGGATAAATTAAGTTTCATTATTTTAATATAGGTACTTACATTGATAATATCGTCAAAATTCTTGAAACCTTCGATTGTTTGTATGTTAGCGACTATTACAATTTTCTTTCCCTTTTCTCCCAACATATTTCGGAGTTCTAAAATCGTTTCGCCTTTATTGACGAATTGTAGAATGACAATATCAACCTAAAATAGGCTTGGAATAAATATTTCTTTTTATTCCATGTTTCTTTCATCATTTCTAATACATAACAATATTACTAAAGTTATCTACAAATTTTTAAATTGTTCTCTAAAATTATAACATTCTTAGAATACTATACCTGGTTTTTTATTGCCATTTCTATATCAAATTTATCTCGTTCCGTAAAATTAGGCATAGTAAATGTAACATTCGGTACAAACACATCATTGTATGAACCTAAAAATCCGCCTCTTTCGATCTTACAAGTCACAGTTGTGGCGGAAATCATTTCAACTTTCAACATTATCGACTCGTTGTCGATCAGAACGAGGTTGCCCTTGTTCATCTGATCAGCAAAATACATGAAGTCGACGTAGACTGTGTACGTTGAACATCTGTCTTTGTAGGTTTCATCTGATGTAAGTCTTACAACTTCACCAGTTTTTAATTCAACAGTTTCTCCGTAGCTCTAAAACAGTTTTTTTTAATGGAAGTAAACTTACAACTTACGTTAGTAGGACCTAATTTTTTTACATTGCCTTAACTTAACTTGAAAGAAATATCTATAATTTCAAATATTGTTCAATAAGAAGTAGCTTGTTATACAATAATCCGAGTTAAAGAATAACTTATCAGGTAACTTAGTAACTAATATCTGTCGTCACTGTGTCGTTTGCAATTATATTACAATAAAATGTCTAAGGTTCTAATCTTGACCTATTTAGTGACTATGGTAAATTTGTAAAAAATGTTGCTCCATCTGTCATTAATCAAACATAAGAATTTTGCTCTGGCATAATGAGCATTGTTTTATTAATTTTGTAGTATCACCTGTTTTCTTACTGCACAATTGTTGTCTGTTACTGTCGTATTGGTTATGTTCAGATGCCTGTTCAATGCGAGTGAAACAACGCATGTAACAAGCATAGTTTCTTTGAATCACAAGTTATTGAAAAAATAAATATTATATTATATAAGCCAAACTAGTGCAAAGAACCATCCGGTTCGGTAAAATCACACAATGAATCACAAACACTATATATTTTTTATATTATTATTATGCATAGTTATTTCTTTTTATACTTTTATAATTTTGTTAAGTTTGCACACTGTTAATATTGTCACACTTTGTCACAAATACATGCCGTGGCAGCCTATAATTAAGATACCGCATAAATTATCACTTATACACTATTGATATAACTATACCATATGCGGATATTCTTGTTGGTTGTCCTTAAATAAATAGGTTATAATTTTTTTTTATATTTGGAACTTACTACAGAGTAATGATACAGCCAAAGAAGTGCAAAGAAAAACCATCCGAGTGTTACTTGGACTCGAACATAAAAAGTTCTTTTTAACTTTCAAGTGTGCTTGTAAATTGAACTAAAATAAAATTTTGAATTAAATTTCTTATACCTAAATCATAACAGTTAAGTTTTCTTACGTCCGCGATCCTCCCCGTTCTAATCTTCCGTCCGGGTAGTTGGATAGCAATTGCCAAGGGGTAATTTCTCCCCATGTTCACACTGAAGTTAGTGGCGGCCTGCCGCAACATCTTGATAGTTTGCATGTGTTCCTCTCTTGTACCATACGACATGTTCAGGAGAGCTATGTTCATCCCTGAGGCCATCATCTTCTCCATTATCACCACGTCATTGGTTGATTTCCCTATAACAGAAAATAACAACCAAGTGTTTAGAATTGTTGGCCAAATATATAAATAAGATAACACTTACTATACTATATAACAACGATAATGAAATCTAACTAAATGCTGTTATTATTGTAGTTAATTTGCCTTACTAAGTTAAATACTTAGTAGGCTTCTAGGGAGTTATGTCCACCCGATTACTTGTGTTGTTATCTTTAATGTCTGGATAGCGGCATCTTCAAGCAGGGTTTAATTTGTAACAGTCACCTAGTTATTATAGCTAGTACTCAAGCTATATAGCTTATAGCTAGTACTCAAGCTATAAGTATATAGCTTGAGTACTAGCTATAATAACTAGGTTTACTATATAGTAGACATATTAGGCACTTATCACTTCCCTTGCTTTTAAGTGGTTCTTGTGCAGCGTCTGGCGTAAAAATGCAATTCCATTTCTGCTACTACAGAAAGAAAGATTATTATGTTATTAATTATAATCACCCATTGACGCTATGATACAGGTCATTCTTTGACACCCTGGTGCGGCTTTGATGTCCAAGTTCAGAAGATGATCCAGAGGAGTGACGGCATTAGTTGCCGCCAGTTGTTGCCCGGGCAGTTCCATAGCGTCATACTGTAATTTTTTTTATGTGTATGGTGGCAAACAATCAAACGTCCAAGGTCCATGTAATAATAAGTGGCCCTCATAATCTATCGACACTTTCGGTATGAGAAAGTACAATGTAAATTACTTTTCATCAAAATGTATGTGTTATTTGCCAACAAAAACGTTATTATTACAGCAACATGCCTATATTAATCCTGTTAACTTGGAGTGTAATTACTCATCTTACGGCCTTACGGCTTGTTTTACAAGTTGGCCCATGTCTGTAGTACACTTGAGGTCATGCTGGTGTATGCAATTTAACATTAAAGTAACAAGACCTATATTGACAGTGAAGGCGTCTTCTTAATAGAACGCAAATATGCGATTACCGGTAGCAGTTCATGGGAACTTTATTCGTACCAATCAAATTATATCACACAAGCATCGATTAGGTTTTATCGTGGTTTCATATATGAAAAAAAAACGTATTGCGTATTCCCCAATTCTTCTTGTCTATGTAAACTAATAAACTAATATTATAAAGGAAAGATTTGATTGTTTGTTTGTATAGACTAGACTCCGAAACCACTACACAGATTTTAAAATTCTTATATATTCAGAATCCTACATTACCCGTAATGAACATAGGCTATATTATAGTATTTTCAAGAAAGAGAAAAAAAAAGTTAGGGTTCCGTATGAAAACTTCGATAATGTAAACATACCAGAAAATAACCTTATATCGCGTACGCTGCGAAAGTCATTGACAATAGAGCAAAGTGTTGCACTAAAATTTTATAGAGGACATCAATATCTACAAAAAAGTCTGCATGACCATATGGACTTACTTTACAGTTATGTCACAAATAGAGGTTTCACCAGCGTTAATTTGAAGAAAAAGGTTATAGTGAGTCAAACTTAAAAGATGGCCATATGCTGTTGCAGACTTTTTTATAGGGGGAACAATTCTGTCATACATTATTTTTGTTTAACATTAACCGTTTACCCAGCACACGCAACAGACGTTCACAAATGGAATATTTTTACCTGTTATTGAAACATTTTTTATCGATGCTCTACTCCTACTGGTCGTAGCGTGATGTTGTATAGCTCATAGCCTTCCTCGATAAATGCTCTTTCCAATACAAAAAAATCGAATCGTAACAGCAGACCAATGGTGCATTCGGTACAACGGGAATGAAAGGTTTATAATTATATGAAGAAAGTCATTTACAATAATACAAGCCTGAGAACCAAAACTATAGTCTATACTACAGTCCTATACTGAAGCGAAGCGAGGGCGGGCCACTAGAACAGGAACAAACTATGCCAATAATATTATTACTTGTGGCGAAGAAGCGAAAAGGGGGAAAAAATATATAAACATTGTTGTAAGTGTTTTCAATAACGATAAATACTTACTGAAGTTATTTATTACGCTTAAATCGTAGAATAAGACACAAGGAAAAAAAATTTAGGTCAGGGTATTAATAATGGTATCGTAAAAGTTTTAAAAAACGTAATTAAGTTTTTTTTCTAGTAAACTTTTCTTTAGATTTAAAACGTAATTATTTAAAGTCAGGTAATTTAATTTAGAAAATTTTGCCTTGAGCCTTGTGGAATAAAGTATTTATTGCGTGTACACTATTTAATTAAACTACTAATTTCTCCAGCCATTCAGTAAAATGTAAAGTAGTTTTATTTTACAGATATCAGTATAAAATATGGGAAATACCTACTTAGAAAAAAAAACGGAAGACAAAGACATTGAACTAAACTTAGTTAATAATCTTTATAAGAGATGACAAGGGAGTGAAATATTAATAGCATATACATAAGTACCTACCGATACTCTAATACCGATTTTTATTAAAACACAAAGATAAATTAACAAAGGGTCTCACAAGATTAAATTAACTTACTTCACTTAATTTTACGTCGAGTTGCGTCGGCCACACCATTAGATTATAAATTAAATTATTAAATATATAAGTTAAATGGTTTGTAGAAGATACAGAATCCAATAAAATAATGACAAATGTAAGTTGTCAAGTCATACCAAACCACTGTTAAGTTTATCCTCTTTCACTCAGAAATTATCACATGACAGGCGTTCTAAGCAACGTGAGATTCTACGTCCAAGATGCTAGGCAATGTTAGAGTAAAATCATTAAGAAATATTTCTTCTTATTTTCTTATTTTAGATAATTTTAGCCTCAACTCGTAACAACTTGAACTTACATAACAATTTTATCAATAAATTAATTATAAGTTGAAGTCAACGATATTAAATGTGGAAGTTGATGATGTTCCTTGATGCGATGATAACCCCATTGTAAAGTAAAACTAGGCAGTTATGTGGGAGAAATACGAAGCGATCATACTGCCAGCTAATAGTTTGAGGAGCGATTATAGCTGAGTCCATTGTCTCATGTCGTGGACGAAACGGCCCCTTAAATATATGATTAACTAGTGACCCGCCCTCGCTTCACTTCGGTGTAAAGCTGTAGTATAGTTATTGTTCTCAGGCTTGTATTATACACAATGACTTTCTTCATATAATTATAAACCTTGCGTGAAGATAGTGAAAATTTTGTTGCGTAGTTTAGGACCCGTGGGCCAATCGCCTAACCAGATTGCTTTGGAAAACGCTATCGCTTACGATTTCATTTTGTTATTTCTAACCGCCGAAATACCTCACGCTCATTTTCTTTAACATTGTTATTACCAATGCAAAAGAAAAAAAAAGAGCGCGAGGCATTTGAAAACCTCAGGGGGCTAGAAATAACAAAATGAGATCGTAAGCGATAGCATTTTCCAAAGCAATCCAGTTAGGCGATTGGCCCCCCGTTGTATAGAATGCACCATTGCTCTGTGTCTGTGTCCTCCTTACCATATAGTCCATGCCCTTATCATTAAAGTGACGCAGTGGTTTGTACACACCTATCACTTTTATCACTCATAATTATTACACTAATCGTCGCATCGGATGTGTCTAATGTGATTCCAAATCATAGAAATTAATACATATTGATTCGACCAAACACGCGTGGCGTTGCGTCGGATGGCGTCGCGTTTTATAAGTCTGATTCGGCCATATTGTTTATTTTTAGTTGAACGCGCTAATCTCAGAAAATACTTGTCCGATTCGAATAAATATTTTTGTGTTGGATAGTTCATTTATCAAGAAGGGCTATAGGCATCGATGAAAAATGTTGCAAAAACGGGTAAAAATATTCCATTTGTGAGTTTTCGTTGCGTGCGCTGGGTAAACGGTTTAAGTTACAAAAAAATCATGTATGACGAAATTGTTTCTCTTTAAGAATTCTATAAAAAAGTCCGCGGCGACAGCATGTCTATCTTTTGAATTTGACTCACTATAACCTTTTTCCTCAAATTAACGCGACTAAAATCGCAGGGGATTTCTAGTTGTGACATAACTGTAATAGTTAGAGATATGCTATTGCAAGCTTTTTTGTAGATATTGATGTCTTCTACAAAGCTTTAGTACATCACTTAGCTCTATTGTTAGTGATTCAGTGATGATATAAGGTTAATTTTTGGTATTTTTTTTCACACATTGGGTTACATTAAAATAGTTTTCATAAGGAACCCTATTTTAAAAAAAATACTCTATGCCTATGTTCATCAGGGACCATGGAGGATTCAAAATGTGAAAGTAATTTTCAAATCACTTATTCAATACACACAAACATACAACCAAACAATCAAATCTTTCCTCTTTATTATATTAGTATAGATAAAGTGAGTGATGACTGTGAACTTTGCTTTTAAATATAAGTTTACTAGAATTTACAATGTCCGCGCCCCATCTGCGTCTTACGTCTTTTCTGTGTCCCGCGCCTTAGGTATAATAACATTTAAACATTACTGTTTTTTTAACAAATAGTCGATTGAAACGTATTCACAATGTCAAGCTGAAACTCGGTGGAGTTGTATTAGGCTACTGTTATTAAATAATCCGATTTAGGGACGATCTCGTAGCCTCTAGGCGTCTGCCTTCAAGCATTTGTCAAATGAAGCCTGTTACGATTCCCCAATTCCCGCCTTAACAGGATGAACAACGGATTACTTCTACTCCCGCTAAGCGGAGTCAGGTGAATTACAAAATGGAAGCAAGAATCCCGATCAGGGTAAGCAGAATGATAAACAAACGCCACAGCTGTCGCTAACAACACCGACAAAAATAAATAAAGCCCGCGAAAATAAACAAAGCCCAGTTTTATCTGTGGGAAAACCATTAGGGGATCAAAACGAGGTTTGCGGATGAGATAAATAAAAACACAAAAATTTGGACGTCTGTAAGGATAATGTGAAATCTCTTGATGTGGCTTTATTCCATGAACGTTTTTATGGTCATTCTACTCTGAAATGTTGCTGATAAAAAGTCGAAAAGGGGTGAAAAATTACTTGTTATAGTCTGTTCCAAACGAATTTAGACCAAAGGTAAACACTTTACCTCTTAATTCCTACACAATGAATCACTAAATGGATTTCTTTATACATCAATTTGCATTCCTAGGGATTTGACATATTAATTCACTATCTTTTAAAGCAGTAATTTCTTTATTAATTTATGAAAAATTATTAATGAAAACTCGAGTCGAAAAGTAAGGTTATTTTGGCAGACGGGAATCTCTCTGTGGAGAGAGATCTGTTGTCTGTGGTTAAACAGTATTGCACCGAAAAGTCTTTTCAAAATTATTGCAATTGACGTTAACAATAGTGAATCGATCAAATCAATAGTTATGGCCTCAAATATCATCTAATTTTTATTAGTAATCCAACATATACAAAATTTATTTGTTGGATATACTTAGGTTATTTTTTTATGTACTATAATGCGAAGAGATGGCGTTGTCCTGCAGCTTAAGAATGGCTAGAGAAATTTCGACGCGGTCCGTGAGGGCCGCGGTAGCATAATTGGTCAGTGCATTCGCCCGGATTGCGAAGGGTGCGGGTTCGAGTCCGTCTGCTGCCTGGTCTGCGTGGATTTTTTCTAGTTATATTTTCTTTAGATTTAAACATCAAGCAGTTGCATGCTTTAAAATAATAAAATTATAACTATAATTGCTATTTCTTCTTTCAAATGTTTAATACTTGTAAAAGTATTCATTTGACATTGTGGGTTACCTATAATGCTAAGAGATGGCGCTGCCTTGCAGCTTAAGAATGGCTAGAGAAATTTCGACGCGGTCCCTGAGGGCCGCGGGAGCATAACTGGTCAGTGCATTCGCCCGGATTGCCTAGGGTGCGGGTTCGAGTCCCGTCTGCTGATTGGTCCGCGTGGAATTTTTTCTAGTTATATTTTCTTTAAATTTAAATTATTCACATTGTATAATAAACGTGGAAGTTGACTGCTGTTGAACGAAGTTTTTATTAAAGTGAATACAGGACGTTCAACAGGATAATGCTGCGAGCTCGCTAACCGACGAACCTAGATATTTAATAAATCACGCAAACCAATCGTTCAAAGAGTTTTATTAAGTAACGAAATATAGTTAACTATATTGCCAAATACAACAGCCAAAGCACGTTTTTGAGTAATGATGATACAAATTTATTACTGTTACAAATTAAGCCTTAAAGATTTTTAACAATTTCTAAGAATATGATCATTCAATTGTGCAATTGATTTTGATAAGGCTCTATGAGTCCCCAACACTAAACTGTCTATGGTCAGACTTAACTGTTTGTTTAACAGACTATACACAGATATAGATTGTTACTCAATTCTGGTAGTAATGAAATAGTCCAGTCACTTTAGGATTTCATCTCGGAATTTGAGATAAAAATCTGGAAATGATTGGAACCATAGAAACGGAGATAATTGCAAAAAAAACGATTTTCGTGACCTATGACCTCGAATAACTTACGATGCAGACATGAGATAATATGAGACTATTGAGACAACTTTTAGAACGCCAAAATGAAGTTGTACACGAGTTTCCAGCTTATTATCTCAAATTCCGAGATTGACCCCTTTTTTCCCTAAAGTGACTAGGCTAAAAGTATAAGTAGAAAACAGTGTGAAAAGTGCACACTCAGTGTAAACATTTCACTAGTATTATTTTGCATGGCTGTAACAGATAGTGGACGAAGTGATTAATTATAATTTGATAAAACGTATTCCGCAATGGTGTACTAAAACCAGTCCAATAAAATATCAAACTCTGATCGATAGAAACTGACGCTAGAAAGATATGTTTCGATATCTCCTAATATAAAAGATTATATATTATGTGTTAATTTATGGTCAGTTTCAATAATAATAATAAAACACCAGCAAGAAGTAGGTCTACCGGCATTTTGTTGCCAAGATATTTTTATTATTTAGATTTTGATAACAACAGAAACAGAACTATAAAAAAATAGATTATCCTTTCCTGGAGATTGATTATATTGAAACTGACCAATATTGTGATTAACAAAACAAAACTCTAGTAGGCTTATGTCTTACTGGAGTTAGATTTTTGAAACTGATCGTAAGATAAAGTGCTAAGAATTTATCATTCGATCAAAAAGGTTTAAAAAACAAATTATAGTCCCCCACATTTTGTATGTATGTTAAAGTTTTGTTGTCAGCGTTCCGGTTTAGAGACAGATGTAAAAATGTAGTCGTTTGTAAACGTCCAGCATAAGTTGTGATTGCTAGACCAAAGTTTTGCAATATTACTTCCAAGTTCCAGCTTAGAGTTTTCACAATACAAATTCTTAACGTCAATATTTGTAGCAAAACTTTTAGAATTCTCTTCGGGTGAGCATTCTATATACTAAATAATAATAATAGTAGATTATAGTAAATATGAATATAATAGTCCATTATGATAGAAAAGAAGTCAGGAAATAGATTAAAATGAAAATAAATTATTACGTCTAGAACTGAGGGAGGCACTTTATAGAATTATTTATTTTTTGAACTACATTTTTTATATTGCTACACACATTTCGTTAAAACATTGTCATTTTAGTGCACAGCCCCCTCGCATTCTGACATTATTTATATATTTATATACATAAGAAACAAAATGTATAATAAAATAAGACCTAAATCAATAATAATATAAATAAATTAAAAATGTATTTACAGGTGACATAAATTACAATTAAAATAAATAAATGATAACCAACGGTCACTCGAAACTTCTGCCAATGCCCGTAGTAGGCAAAACTAATAATAATTATAGAATAGAATAAACAAACCACGAAATACATTAATATACAAAAATAGCTCCGTAGCGTATTTAAAAAACCCACACTATATTAATTATCTATACTTATAATAAATCTGTAGAGAGGTCAATTCTGTACATGAAATATATTTTCAAAATAACTATCAGGGGGTGATAAGTGATGGATACTGATGCCAAAAATGCAATCAATAAAATTTTTGTCTGTCTGTCTGTCTGTCTGTGTGTATGTTCCTTATAGAAACAAAAACTACTCGACGGATTTTAACGAACCTTGGTACAATTATTCTTCATATTCCTGGGCAGGTTATAGTATACTTTTCATCACGCTACAATCAATAGCAGCAGAGTGGTGAAGGGAAATGTTGGGAAAACGGGAGAAGTTACTCCATTTTTTAAGCTTCCGTCGCGTGTGCAGCCTTAATGGTTAAAGTTACATAGAAATCATGTATGACGGAAATATTCTACATAAAATTGTCTAAAAAATATCCCGCAACAGCATATGTCTATCTTTTATGGTTGACTTACATTAACACGTGTAATTATATAAATAAAGTCATTGTTTATAGCACAAGCCTGAGTACAAAAACTATAGTTTACACTACAGCTCTACACCGAAGCGAAGCGAGGGCGGGCCACTAGTTACATAATAAAATGGTAGGAAAGTCAAAACTGTACTATGAATATTTTTTTAAAAAAATAATTGGGGTATGATCTATAATTGATACCGAAGCCAAAAATATAGATTTTAAATTTTTTGTCTGTATGTATTTCCGGGATAAACTCAAAAATTACTTCAAATTTGGCATGAATATTATTAAGAAGTCGGGTCAATATAAAGATTATTATCACGCTACCACCTATGGGTTCGAGCAGTGAACCCTTATTTCTAACTAACTCCATGCGTACGAAGTCGCGGGCGGTCGCTAGTAATATAATACATGCGTTGCGTATCTCAAAGTTATCATTTGTAAATAATCCCAACTAAATAGTAATACGAAACGAAGCTGCAAGATAAGGCGTTTAGAGTAATAAACAGATAAGCAACGCGGCTCAAGCGCTACGAATGAATAGAAACAGAACTAGCAAAACTAGTTTCGAACAAGCCCAAAATAATAGCGAAGCAGCGGCGGTGCAGTAGGCAAAGCAGCAGTTACAAACCTTTTAAGCATTAACAGTGAATTAACACAATATACACCAATCTCACTTCACCACTATAGACACAGTGATGGTCACCAATTATGTGACCATCACTGTATGCGGTACTGGCAGAGCATAGCTTGAAGCTAGGAAAACAGTTGAATTGATTATGAAACACGCTAAGAAAGGTTCTACATGTAAAATTGAAACACACAAAATTTCAGGAGTTTTTATTAATAAAAGCTCATCATAATATTAAGAAAATATTTTATTATCTAATTTTTCTTTGGCTGTTTGTCATTTCTCATGGCATCTGTAAGTAATAAAATTAAAACTGTATTAACTCGAAGAAGAAAGTATTATTACGTTTGAATAGTTCGACATACTGCTTCAATGTGGATAACGGGTCAGCGCATACTAAGAGTATTTTCGATAATATTGCATTCGGTTAATTAATCAGAACTTTCTTTTTCATTACAAGACAAGGACACGGCTCGCCTGATAAGCGGTCATCGTGGCCAATAAACTATAGATCCAATAGACTATCAGACACGCGTTTATTAAAAATTTAATTACATTTTCAGACACTATAATACTTTTAAATGTTATTGTATTCTACCACTAGCAGCCACGCGCGACTTTGTCCGCGTTAACTTTAGTTTTTGATAGTCCCTCAGGGGTCTAACATTATTTCGGGATATAAAGTACCTATCCTATCTATATCTTTACAGGTATGCAATCTGTGTGTAAAATTTCATCCAAATCCGTTGAGCCGTTTTCATATAATTACTAAACCATGTAACAATCATACAAGCTTTCACAATTATAATATTAGTTGGTAGGTACACTGGTATGTGCAAGCGTCTTCTAGCTGTCTAGGTAGCCGCTGATCGCTGCTCGATCGATCCATACTACGATTGCTACGAATTTTCCGTAGCAATTTAGCTTCGTTCTTATCGAGAGCGTATTTCTTTTAAACTTTTATGGTCACTTCCATTATAGCTATTAAGGAGATTGTTACCATGTACCTAATTTTTTATAGGTCTCCGATATTTCGGCGCTGTTGCAAGCGCCATGATCACGGAGTAACTGTGTGTTACTCCGTAATCATGGCGCTTGTAACACACAGTTACTCCGTGATCATGGCGCTTGTAACACACAGTTACTCTGTGATCATGGCGCTTGCAACAGTGCCGAAATATCGGATAATCGATCGATCGAAATACCCTTAATAGTTTTGATTATTTCCTACTAAATCGCTACGCCCTTTAATTTTCTTCATGCTGTAAACGGCGCCATAACCTATGGACGCTTGCGATACCAAAAATATCATTCGCGCCATTGCCTACTTTTACCCAATCCCCTACCCCGTGAAATCATAGAATCTTACACACCGACAGAAACAACAACACCAAAAGGTTGAATTATTCTACTGTGGTCTTTTGTGATGTGGAGGTTGCTTCCCCAGACGGGCGCTCCAATTCAAAAGGCAATCCGCTATGGTAGGGCATCACATAGATTTAATTATTGATAAAGTAGATACCTCACCAACGTTATACAAAATACCTAGTGTCATGTAATATGCATTAAATATATTATTAATCTATTTTGTTTTTCTACTTAGAGTATCGGCGAAAGTAGGAAACCCTACCGTTGCATAGCAAAAATATTAGAATATTTATTCCGATATACTTACTCAACTGTGGGCCTTTTGTAGTTCGTGACCGGCGAAATGCGCACCATATCACAATATGAACTTTCCTCTCTGCCCCTTTGAAGAGTGACATAGGTGTTTCCGTATTTGAGCCATCCTCTATGCACTGCATAGTCGACAGCAAATACAACCTTAGCTTTGACATTATAAATCCATTTATTATGTGGTTTTTCTATAAAATAAAAGGTGAAAAAGTTCATGACTAATTATTATAGACGACTAATGCTTATTATAGCTAGCTAAACAAAAAAAAAACTTACCAACGTATACAAGCGGGACTACATTTTTACAGGATTTCAATAATCGATTTACTCTTATATGTTTACAGACAGTGATGATAAGACAATCAGGGTTCATGCGCAATAGTGTCCTAGCAGTAGTCCCAGATACTGTAGGTATAATTATAGCACCTGCCTGGCATTGGTATGCAGCAATCACGCATGCAAGCATGGACGCTTCTGCCGCATTCAATGGCAACTTGATCTGGTAAATTATAAAGAGATTTTGTAAAAACAAATTATTATTATATTTAGATACTTTAAAACAATGCATATCTGAAACTATACTTAAGAGAAAGCCGACATTGAGCCACTAAACGCGACAATTATTGTCTCAGTCAAGCCACTAGACGCAGCCACAGCCGCTAGTGACTCGAACGCTTAGTTTGCGTCGACACTATAAAAAAAATATAAGAAATCTCGACCGCAGCTTGTGGACGCGTTTAGTGGCCGCCACTAGTGGCTTTATGTGCGCTTGCTCTAAAAGTGACTTTAATAAGGAACTGCATTATTATATAAAGAAAAGGACATGGGAAAATTTTATATGAGCGACTGCCCTAGCAATATATAAATATTGTACTTAGGAATATTTAATGGTGAATGGCTGAATTTTTATAATTTCTTTGAAAACAGGCTCAGGAACTTCTGGCAGAGTAATTTTTAATTTAATAATTTTTTTTTATTTTCTCATACCACAATCTAAATAAAACTTACATGAAGCAATGGTACAATGTTGCAGACTGTGGTGGGCTGATACCTGAACTAGGAAAAATCCTGTATCCCAGGTTATCAACCCTCCACCCCAAACAATGGTCAGAAAACTTACAAATTGTATGCACTTAGTGAGACACTTTATAAATAATCATGATGGGAAGTTTTGACACACACTATTCATATAAAGAAGTTAAATTCTAAATAAATAATACATTTAGGACATTTTATAGTTTAAGATTGCAATGCCAATACAGGATTATTTATCAACTTTTAATATTTTTTCTGTCGCAAGATAATCAAAAGATTTTAATTTTTTTTTTAGAGTTGTCTTTAAACCAGCTTTATTCATTTCAATTATACGGGATATATCATCAAAGTACCTATAGAGAAACGGCCCAGTATAGTACATCTGACGTCGAGCAAATATTGAATTATAATTTGGGACTTTCGTACGATATCGCCTCTTATGTTTAGGAAGTTGGGATGGGTCTATCGTTTTATGATGCCGAAGGATAGTATTATAAATAAATAGCTGCCTAACAGTTAGTAAATTAGCCTCCTGGTATAACTGGCGTGTCGGATATTTCCTGGGTTTACCTAGCATGACTTTGAGAACAGCTCTCTGTGCTCTTTCAATCTCCAAAAGATGGGTTTTAGCAGCACCACCCCAAACCGGAATACAATAGGTTAGTAGGGATTGACAAAGAGAAAAATAGATTTTTATAATAAGCGTTGGGTCAGCTGCTTCACGAAGGTTTTTAAAAATGTGAAGCAATTTTCGTACTCTTTTGCTTAGGGATGAGATATGAGGTGCCCAATTGAATTTTTTATCAATTATGATACCCAGATATTTGTGAGTATTAGTTTCAATTAAATAGGGACAATCACAAGGGGGGTCAATAGTATCGGAGGAACACGTTTTAAAGTGGGCTTTTACGTTAAAATTAATGGGAGGTTTAGTAGCACTAGAGATTCTAAAGCATATGAATTTTGTTTTAGGTACATTGATGGTTAGAAGATTGTTGTCTAACCACCCTATAACCTTTTTAAGACCTCGTTCAGCAAATTTCCGGACTAGAGACCAAGTTTTACCGTGAAAGATTAGGGCGGTATCGTCTGCAAAAGCCAGCGTGTTACCGTTGTCCATTCTGATTTTGCAAAGGTTGTTGACGTAGGCCAGAAACAGGGTAGGGCCAAGCGTGCTACCTTGCGGAATACCATAGTTGTTAGGGGAGCTAGAACTAACAACTGTGGAGACTTTGACTACTTGACTTCTATTTGATAGGTAGTCACGAAACCAATCGAGTGCCGTCCCTCGTATACCAAACTGTTCTAGTTTAAGTAAGAGTAGTGGAATAGAAACAGTGTCGAAAGCTTTTTTAAGGTCCAGAAATATAGCTAGGCATCTTTCACCGCTGTCCAAAGCCTTGGTAACCTCTTCTGAGAGTTTAGCCACTGCATCCTCAGTATTTCTTCCTGTGCGAAATCCATATTGGTTATCAGATAGCAATTGCTTACTCTCTAAGAACTTAGTAAGACGAATATTTACTACTTTTTCTATAATTTTACTGATTGTGCTAAGTAAACAAATAGGCCTATAATTCGACACAGTCTCTACACCACCACCCTTATAGACAGGGACAACCACAGCCTGTTTGAAAATTGCTGGAAATGTTCCAGTGGAGATACTTAAGTTGCACAGGTGGGCTATCATTGAGCATAAAATTTTGTGGGAATTTTTAATGATAACGGTAGGGATAGAGTCTATTCCTGGAGCACTATTAGATTTGAGGCTAAGAATTATTTTATCAATTTCAATATAATCTGTCGGATACATATAGAACGAGTGCACATTCCCCGATGAAGGTGTATTCTCTAACAAATTAGGCTCGTCCATGTTATGTTTATTTAATATGTCTGCTGCAAGTTGTTCTCCAATGGATGTAAAATAATTATTTACTACTTCAAGAGAGCTCTTTGGCGACGGTAGCAGAGTTAGTAATGCAGCTGCTGGAGTCTGCTTAGTTTTAATGTTACATAATTCTTTTACGGTTTCCCAAGTACGTTTATTATTTTTATAATTTTCACTAAACTTTTTCATGTAGTAACTATTTTTTAAATATTTTACTGTCTTGTTGCAAATATTGCGATATTTTATATAAAATGATTTTAATTCCATATCATCTGGATTCTTTCTAACTAACGAGTGGATACGATCTCTTTTCTGAAAACATTTTGTGACACCTATAGTTATCCACGGTTTTAATGGCTGTTTCTTTTTAGTGAAAGTAACTTTTTCAGAGTTTATGGCTATTAGTTCTTGCAATGATTCGATTAGTGTCTGAGCGGCTAAGTCTGGATTGTTAATTGTTAGAAAAGGATTCCAGTCTTTTGTTTCTATTGCCGATTTCAAAGCTTGGTAGTTAATTCTTGATCTAGTAAATGAGGTAACAGTTTCTGAATTTTGCGCAAGACTGGATGAAACAGATAAAAACACTGCAAAATGATCCGTGATATCTGACGTAAGCACGTAGCTTTGAAAAGATCCCACTAGTTTACACATAATGTGGTCGAGGCAGGTTTTTCCATGCGTAGGCATATCTATGGAATTTTGCAAACCATGGGATCCTAAAATTTCTAGGTATTCTCTTACATTATGACTATTGGTGTTTAAGGTATCGATATTTATGTCACCAGTTATGATGATGTTTCGAGATCTCGTGATGGTTAGAAGAGAATCAAGTGAGTCAAGAAAACTAGTTGGGTTTTTAAAACAGTCAGGTCGGTAGATTCCAAATATAGTAGTATTATCAATCTTAGCAGCCAGGCAGTTAGCTTCGTTCAGTTCAATTTCTTGAACAGTGGCCACTATAGAATCATTGATGTACATAATTACGCCGTCATTCTGATTAAAGCTTTTTTTACTAAAATGCATAGTGAAACCGTCAATTAATGGGGGGACCGAACTTTCATCACACCAGCACTCAGATAAAACAATAATATGTATTTTAGTTTTTAACTTTGTTAAGAATATTAAAAAGTTGTCAAGATTTTTGTTAACACTTCTTATGTTAAAAGATATAATATTGAATTGATTTTTATTGTTTATTAACTGGTTTACAAGGTCGCCGCTGGGATTTTCAATGAGTTTACAATCAGGAGTACATGATTTTTCGATTTCTTCAAAAAGATTTTCGCTATCCATATTTAGTTATTATTGTGAGTTTAGTCTCAGTGAAATGCAGGTACCAAATAATGTTCAAGAGTAATAATTTCAAGTATGTAGTAATTTGAGCAATAAGTTTATTATAGAGGCATTGAAGTTTATATGTAATTGATATCGATTTTGGACAGTATTGTGAAATTGGCGGTGACTGCTGATATTTACGAATGAATATTGTGTGTTTAAATAATATAAAGTTAAAATGGCAATTTATTTTTTGACGATCAGATCTAACAATAGGCCTGGGAGATTCCTGTATGGCTTTGATATAGGTTAATATAATTTTAATATAGTAAAACACACAATCTTGAAAATAATAAGAACTCCTACTATGCCATTACCTTACTACAGTTGATAAAAGATGTTGCCAATTATTCACAGAGTTATCAATTTCGCATTTTCTTAGAATCTCTCTTCCCATTTCTCCGCTTAACTCATCATAAAAAGTTCTTTAAGCAAAAATAAATGTATATTATTTGTTATCGTCGGCCTGACAGGAAAACTTTGAAGTTTTATTTTGTCTATTTACGAAAATTAAAGGATTAATTTCATACAGCCTTGTCTCAAGCCTGATTAGAATAATAAAATCTATTATTTTAGGTCTTCAGTAATTTTTTATAATAAAAATTAGGGCCAAATATGTCATATTTTGAAGGAGTTTAGAAATAATATTGTTCACTTCGATATAGTTCCACAAATATTTTTTTATACACGTTAAGGGCAGTTTTTTTTTTAATAATAAATAACTTTATTTCTCACCACAAATGACAAAAAAGGTTTACACAAAATCTTAGGCGAATTATATAATCATGTCGTCATTCGTGGGAGACTGGTGCCCGTGTAGGTTCATAGACCCGTGTTACAGGTCACCAGGCCCCCATTGTTTACAGAAAACATTACACCTTGACAATGATACTCTAAAGGTTTGTATGGTAAGCATCGACTAATTATGGGCAGTTTGTGTTTAAAGAGAGTGTGTGTATGTAGGTATGCGTGTGAGTATGAGTGTGTGTGTGTTTGTGTGTGTGTGTGTGTGTGTGTGTGTGTGTGTAGTAAATATTATTGTATTATGATAAAATCTGCAACAATTGTTCAGTTTCTGTATAAGTAAGTGCCTGTAGGTATAGTTTCATAGCCATGTCCTTTAAAACTATAAATTAATAAAATATACTTACGCGTTGCCACAACTCCTATCCCGTGGAGTTACTACATACACAGTACACTACGGAAACTTTTGGCTAAGGACTCACCGCCGCGACTGTGGGACCGCAACTCGCGTCAAATTAGATAAAACGCAAAAGCTAATAGGGGTGATGACAGGGTACAGTAAACGAAATTCTATTTAGTTCATCAGTTAGATGATCAAAAAATAATGGACACGTATTTTTTCTTTGGGCAATCAACTAAAAAATGACAAAGTTATAGCGCGTAGAAGTTTGGGAGTAGGGGCTCGTGACGTCACTTTTTAGTGAATTTTCACTTAAAAGTGTACCAAAACGTGACGTCATGCTACTTTTCAAATCAATATATCTCTGCAATGTTTATTTTATGTGAAAAAAGAAAAAATACGTGTCCAATACTTTTTGATAATCTACCTGATAAACGAAAAAAAAATTAGTCATCATCCCTATTACACGCCGCGATCTATACCCGCAGAGCGCGCGGGTGTTTGCGGCACCCGGCACAGTTGCAGGAAAATATAACCACGTGGGTTCTTAGCCACATGAGTTCATTAAACACATTAAACAAATGGTTTGTTAAAACAACTACAAACCTCATCGACGACCCGCAAAAAACTATTCTTGGAATCTGTGTAGGTTTCTGTACTCTGACAGATTGTATTCAAAGTATTTAAGGCCTCTAGAGCGCAATCTATATCGTGATAGTTTTTCAAAATGAAACCACCGACTCCATCAAAAAGAGCATTCGTTGCATCTGAAACCTCACGGTCTGTATAATAACCATTTGACATGGTATCTTGAAGGATGTCGCCAGACAAGAAGTATGGTTTCCCGAACTAAAAGCAACACGTAAAGATTATTGCAAAAGCCACACGTAAGCATTCATATATCATATTATTATTAACATGTTGATGATAATAATTTATTAAAATAAAAACACTCACTGCTTGGCATTTAGCACCGAGCCATTTTTGTATGAGATGCAACCTTAACCGCTTCGATGCGTCTAACTCAAAAGGTAAGAACTCTCTTGATAGCAATATGGCGTCAGATTCCTGTTGAAAACTTACGCATTTAAATTAACAGTCCGGATCTAAATAAAAAAGATATGGCAAGAAATTCTTAGTAATACTACGCAGACTTGTACCAATAAAAAAAAACACATCTATTCGAAAAGAGCTAATTTGCTCTACGTTAACAAAGTTTAAAATAGCGTTTTGAACTCTAGGGACTAAAAGGGATTTCAATTAGGAATGTGGATATTATATCTATTTCTTGTTTTAATTATTAAAACACGCAATTTAAACCCTTTAAAAGTAATTTTATTTAAAGTGGATATTGTTAGTAAATGTTCCAATCATCAAAGAGCTCCATCACGAACAATTTAATGTGAACAAGTTTCACTGTATATTAAATAATCCGCGCAATTCCAAATTAAAAATATGAGAAAATTACACGCGAAATACAGTTCGCTTTCATTCTTAATTGTTTACTGAAATTCGGATATTATTTGGTTTTATTAAAAAAAAAATGTGTCTTTCTCAAGTAGTAAGAATGAAACTGTTATATTAACTCCCGAACACATTCTATCGGACGCTAATAATGTTATACAATCTTTTACCTACAAAACCCGTCAACAATATATAAAAGTATGAAAATTTATTCTTTGGAAACGGTAAGAAAGGACAACATATCTATTTCAGAAAATGTTATTTTGGCTTTTTCCCAAAATTTATGTAAATAAATTAACATGCTTACTTTTTTTTCATATTCATGGTTTTATTTAAGCACCTACTTATTTTCTCATAGAGTGTCTACCTCGGTAGCAACACTATTTTAAAGCTCTAACGACGTTCTTTGAATCCGTCGCTGCGTTCTGAATTCAACTCCAGAAGTGCTTGCTCCGTTCTGGATTTCAAAAAACGTTCTCGCTTTGGAAATAGTTCTTTGTTCCATTATAGCTAGGGAGCTGGTGGCAATTTAGTGATTTTATTATGGTCGTCGTTGATACCAAGACGAAATAGCCCACACCCATGTCAACTAGTAAAAATAAGTAGCGAGCTTAGGTAGTTCTGATATTTTTTTAAGCAATTTCGAAATTGTAAAGAAAAAGTGACATAAATTATCTTATCGTTTCTGCCATCAATTATCTCTATTAAATACACTTTATAGGACATTTAAAGCTGGCTTCTGCCAGTCAGGATGGTGGGAGTTTTTATAAAAATAACTAGGAAACTGTAAAAGAAAATAGTTAGTACCATATTATTCCATCGTCTTTTCAAAAAATATACTTTCGCTCGACAGTCGTCACGTCAATCGCTGGCCGCTGCCGCAAGAGGTAATATTTGTGGTACGTGTTGGCAATTTAGGCGCATTAAACGGGATGATGAATCGTATTAAGCGTTAAGAAATGTATGAAAACATGTTTCAAGTTGCAGGGACTCACGCAAAATGGCGTATTAAGCGAAAACTCGTATTAAGCGTAATCGTATTGAACGGGTTCTACTGTATCTCATTTTGAAACTTAACAGCCTCTCCTGAAAAGTCATGATTTTGCACTTTAGCCCTTATACATCGATATCTGACTAAATATAATTGAAAATGTTATTATGTTTCTCCAGTTCCATTCTTGTAATATACGTTATTCAATTACTAATATTGTAGGGGAAAATAGTACTTTAGCACAAATACGAACCAAGGAGTAATGAAATCAATTGCCGTTCGGCATTAGGGGCTATGTTAAGTTACTCTGACCCTTGTTAGACACCTAAGTGAAACGTGTAACTTTCTCTCGTGTTTTCACTAATGCTCATGTGAGTTTCATCAAGTGAAACAGTCGATTTGTATTTCTTAGGGCTATATGTTTTACATAGGTCATTCATTATGTACCTTTATAGCCTTATCACATAAATGCTAGTTTAGCACTCAACTCAATACGAGTTTAAGAAGAAAATGTCATACAAAAGAGATTAGGCAAAGTATAGGAGTTCTACGCTTAATCAATACACTTAAATACAAAGGGGCATCAAAATCCCGGCAGTTAAAAAAATACACTTTACATTATTACATACATAATATATGTTTTATTACAGTTCTTTGCATAAGATCTTTATGTCGGCTATTTCTGACTATATGTGAGTTCAGTAGTTAGTACATTTGTGGGAGATATTTTTTTTGTTATGACTTTCTGAGACGTTGTGTGACTATATCTAGCTGAAAAATACACCAAAGAAAGCATATACGGTCAGAAATGGCCTAATAAAACAAAACATGTATTAAAGTATATTTATAGTAGTGTAATTTTTCTCATGGTTTGAAACTGTACCTTAAGTTTTTTAGGAAATAAAGTATATAATTTTTGTTTATTAATTTTAATCATGACATGTGACATTTTCTAGTTGTGGTTGTTCTTTCGCTAATAGCACTCAAGGGACTTTGTTCAACCAATCAAAAAAGAGAATTATCTTACAAATGATATGATTAATAACTATTTTTTCAATCTGCTGTTTATTTACCTCCGCTATTTCATCAATATTATCTAGTCCTTGTTGAGTACAAATACCACTAATGAGGAACGGCCTTTTTACTACAGGTCCAATAAACTTTTTTATTTGCTTTAAAGTTTCTGCGTGTCTAACATAATTTATTATAAGCATATGCACCTGAAAATGTACAATTGAACAAATATTATATAAAGTTATTTGTTTTCTAGAAGTTTAGGACTAGTGGTTAAGACGTTGGTGAATAGGTATCACATAAATGTTTGACTTAAAATATAAAGTCTATTCACCTTAAAAAAGTACCCGTAAAAATATTTAACCATACCTACCTGATACTGCAATGCAAATGTTATAATTTGAAAGTCAATTTTGCCAAGGGTAGGTCTTTTACGGATAACACTTCTCATAGAGACGTAATCGAGATCAAATAGTCTGCCTCCTTTTGTCACAAGGCACTGAATTGATTTCTCATCGACGATTTCAGTGCAAATAACAATAATCTCTTCCTGCCCGATGGATATTTCAGTATGAATATTGACTTCAGAAGTCAAACAAGCATTATCAACAAATATTTTGTATTCATTGCAAGTGTTGTAATCCCTTAAGTTATTGGTCAATATTACTTGTGATCCTTCCTTGACGTAGATATAATCCTTGTCCTTAAAAATAACATCAATTAGAATTCCCAATATCCTCACTTTGATATGTTTATTAATATAATTCTTCATTACGTCATGTGTCGTTTTAAAGCCTGCGCAGATGAGGGACTTTTGTCCGCCAAATTTTTTGAGACCGGACTGGATAAAAGAATGCGTTTCGCGCTCGATCAGATTTTAAGAGATGAACCCAGTATCTATATTTTCCATTAAAACGTCTTCTCTTTTGCTGAAACTTCATGTTAATTACAACACAACGTTATCCGGGAATATTTACTTCTATAGCGTGCGTTTCTCTAAATTAACGGGCAACAAATGGTTGCACACCGTTGCGTCGAGTCCGTGACAAGTTCTCGGTGGACATTTTTTTCACGATTGGGGGACTTTTGTACGCGGATGACTAGTCTTCATCTGTGCAGGTCATTATAAGTACTTTATATTATTACTAGCTTTCGCCCGCGACGTCATCCTTGTTAAAGTTAAGTTTTTGTTAGATTTAGAGAATCCTACAGCGACTAACATTTTTTCGGGATAGAAACTATCATTTATATCTTATTTCAGGTCATGCCATAAGCAGTGTGCCGATTTCATCCAAATCTGTTTAGATGTTTTTACGTGACTGATTAACAAATATACAAACTTTTACATTTATAATATTAGTAGGAAGTATAATTACCAACAAAATCTAGGCATCAACTTGAATCAAACTTAAAATAAAATGAACGCAGTACGGCTGTAAGTCTTAAAGATTTGATAAAGTCAAAGGCACTGCTTACTCAAAAAAAATTTTGAAGCCAAAAACTTTATTTCATATGTCTGGGGCAGTTCATATTTGCCACTATTGTGGTACGTATTCTTAAGAACTTACCGATCCCAATAAACCCGTTTTAACAATACAAGTTTTTAACTCTATACTTGTGGAAACAGGCCAGTCTGGTACTCCATATTTTGTGCAGCATTTGAGACATGCCTTGTCTAGTTTCGATAGTATTTGCAATTTATCACCTTTGGTGGTATGTGACAATTTAAATTTTACTGCATTCATCCCAGCTTCTAACATCTTTTGTATATCCACTGCTGTTATTGAAGAGTCCGCTAGTTTGTAAGAGAAAACATACTTAGAGTCTTCTGTATAACTATGATTCTGTATCTTGGGATCTTTGATGATATACATGCTTAGATGGAGCAATCCAAGTAACACCACGCAAAGAAAATAGCTCATGTTAAGCGCCATGTGTGCGTGACTCTAATGGCAGATTGTTTGAAAGCAGTCAATATGTGAGTGTGTAGCGACGAGCCTAGGTATCTATCTTAAGTAGTACATATTTTTGAGGCGCTTTCATGTAGTAAATACGGTGTCGTGGATGTATATAATCAAAGCTTGGGACATCCTAGAAAAACGGCGATCAAGGAAACGAAAAATATAAAAACAAACTTAGCTCTAATTTCACCTACTTATAGTAGCGATAATCGTAGTCCTTATTGTTTTACTTTCAGGTTTTGTTAAACACGATGGATCACTGAAATCTGTATGAAAACTTGACCTTCTCATAATAGTTGCACGTATATTAGAAAACTATAACTGATCGAATCTAAATTTATCGAAAATTATATGAAATAAATCTTTAGGTGCTTAAGTTTATCAAAAATAAATTATTCTAAGCGTAATAATTAGTTACACAACTATCACATTTGACATTATAATCCATAGAGTTATCTTTATTTTATGCTTTTTAAGGTCGGCTACTGACATATCTGCTGTAGGGGCAATCTAGGGCGCACGGTGGTTGGGGCTAAATTGATTTATTTCTACACACATACCTGCTATTCAGTGTTCGGATATTTATTGAGCTAAACACACGCGTTGATAAAATGGTCCCAGTGTTATCAAAAAATAAGATAAGATCAGTAGGTAGGGCCTTCGGTGCAAAAAAGGAAAAAGTGGGTGAAGAATTGGCAACAGAAAGAAATTTATTGTAAGTAAATAATGTTTGTATTTTTATTCCCACCTGTGGGGCTGGTCTTTATATGCTTCTATCACTTGCGTCCAAACTTCATGCTTATTATGATCTGCCGCCACTTAATCAAAAACGTTTTCTCCGTGTGATAGTTACCAACCAACTGATTGGGAAATTGCTTGATCGCGCTACACACGCGGCAACGTGCAAGGCGGCACGGGCAATCTAGGACCCTCATCTCGCGCCCCTACCGCCCTGCCGCAGGGCCAATCTAAAAAATTGCCCCTGCTTGCTTACGCACATCAAAATTAAGAAGGCAATTAAGGGTCATCCCCACTCTAACACCCTCGATTGTCCCTACAACAGGGATGTGAGTAGCCCGCTTAATACTAAGATGGTCCTTTAAGATGAAACAAAGTTTTTCACGTGTGGAAACTGGCAACACCACTTTATACATAGACTTTACGATATCTTAAGAGAAATATTCCATTATAAGAGCGCTCGCTTTGAAAAGATAATAGGACCTAGCAGCTTTAATAAATTAACTTCTCATAAGTACAGTCAAGTAACGTCAGTGGTCATAAACCTAGTTATATTGAGATTGTCCTAAATATGCAGCAAAAGGACAGCTATAATTTTATTAAAGTACAAGCCTACAAAATTAAGATTTCTACTGTTATGGCGCAATTACATTTGGTCCTTAGAACGTATTCGGGTGCAAGAATGACATTACTCGAATTCGGGCATTCGAAGCAATATTTACACTGGAATACGGGCTGGACGACGGTGTCGGTTAAGCAAAAGGAAATATACTCAAATACGGGCGTACTCTACTCTGTTAATTTACACTTAGTCGTTTACCCGAATTCCATTGGGTCTTTGGTCTCCATTCTTATTCGGGCTAACGACCAAATGTAAGGGCGTCATTAAGCTGCGTACGGATAGCGAGCGAGCGATAGAATTAAAATAAAAACACAAACCAAATAATTTTATTATAACATAAATTATGTATTCTAAAAACTACTGATAAAGGTCTGTATGAATAACAAATAGAAAATACATATAAAAAAAATGAAATAAAAATATTACTGTCGTCGAACATCTTTTTTTTGTTACTTATCAACATATTTTTTGTCAAGGAGTACATTTCATTGCAACCTCAATTTTGACCTGGAATAGATAGGTAGATATCTGGAAATATTCACCTGATTTTTTGTAAATGACATAACAGGAATGTGTTTCTAAATTCTAAGGAACACAGTGTCTGTAAATAACTTTCGTCATAAAGTAACATTATAAAAGAATATAAAAGAATGATTATAGGAGAATAATACAATATCAGCTACAGCTTATAAAACTAACTGGTTTTTCTTAGAATTTGCGTTTTACTGTATACAGGCTGAATTGGTCGCAGTATGCGCTTTCTGGAGATGCCTTACGTAGTACAGCGTAAGGTTGATGGTGCTTTAGAAGTTCGTGATTTACGCAGTGTTCTACAGCAAATTCGATTCGCCTTTTTATACCCATATACCAATCTTCTTTTTCTTTCCCTGTTGGATTGTTAGATTAACTTAATAACAACTACAAAAATAACGTACAATCTAAACCAAGTGCAGAAAAGTCAACAGCTGAGGGACGGCTTTACGAATCGACAATCGAAAAATAACATTTTGATCTAAGAAATGTTGATCTTCCCCCAACTGTAATAACTTTTTTTTTTAACATTTTAGTTCATTTTTTCACCATTTCAACAAATGGACGTCCATTGCTTTATAAAAGCTTTAAAACAGTAACTGGGTATAGTACAGTCAATCTGTAGGTTGAGTGGTAAAAAAAACCTAAAGGGTAAGTTTTGTTTTTTCTGTTGCTAAATGACGTCAGTAAGCCACCTTGGCGATAGGCATGTTCAACTCGTAGGCGTTTTTTGAAAAACTCGAAAAAACCATCAATAAATTTTTGAAACACATTTTTCTTGTTTTGTATGTATTTTAGAAACTTTTTTTTCGACCATAATTGTAGAGGGCGTTGAGTACTACAATTTATGTCATTGTTGCAATCTCGTACAACAAAAAATGCGCGTTGTAGGTGGCGCTAAAGTCTCAAAAAAAGTGTTTTTTCACTTTATCACCCTGAAAATATCATTTTAATGGAAAACTTTAAATAGAAAAGTTGTTCCGTACATAATTACCAACAACTTTTGTATAAACAATTTTTTTGTGCACTGCAAATGTGTACTTGAACTGCCCAAAACCGCTCTATTGGATTTTTCATACCTGCGCAATTTATAACTTGAAAACGGTAAGTAATACAAAAAAATTGTTTATACAAAAGTTGTTGGTAATTATGTACGGAACATCTTTTCCATTTAAAGTTTTCCATTAAAATGATACTTTCAGGGTGAAAAAAAACTTTTTTGAGACTTTAGCGCCACCTACAATGAGCATTTTTTGTTGTACGAGATTGCAACAATGCCATTAATTGTAGTACTCAACGCCCTCTACAATTTTGGTCGAAAAAAATTTTTCTAAAATGCATACAAAACAAGAAAAATGCGTTTGAAAAAATTTTTGAGGGTTTTTTTGAGTTTTTAAAAAAACGCCTACGAGCTGAACATGCCCATCGCCAAGGTGGCTTACTGACGTCATTTGGCAACAGAAAAAACAAGACTTACCCTTTAGGTTTTTTTTCAGTGAAACGATTTTTTTTTCGACAGATTGACTGCACTAGTACTAAAATACTTTTTTCGTGTTTATAGTAGGTATAGATAGATACGTAGGTACGTATCTATCTAAACCTACGTATCTTTAACATGTTAGAATTTACAAAAAATCAAATCAATAATAGGAACTACTAATCCACAAAGGTAGTATTCATTTGGGACAACATATACTACGTCCTGAGGAAAACAAAGCTCTTAAAGCTAGAAAGCCTTTGACCTTTTTGGAAGCTATCGGTCGAAAATAAATAGTTTGACTTGATGGCGTGTCGCAAATAGGTCACAGTGACTACAGTGTCACTAGGATTGCATAACCCGAAAATCTGAAATATTAACATGAAACTTACTATCATATATAATTGGTATGACGCCGTGAAACAGGTACAGCTGCTCGACAATGCTGACATCTGTGGCCACAGCTACGATGAAGGACTTTGGTGTTATACGGGAGAGTTGCTTAACCGTTTTGCCCGTCTTGGTCAAAACGATGATCACCGTGGCATTGATTTGGCGAGCAGCGATTGCGCAGGCAATAACTGCGGCTTCGGCGGCATTTACAGGAGGCTTTAACTGTTGAAGTTACACAGAGATAGATGAATAGTTCACGACATATAACTTCTGTGATTAGCAAGAGTATAAGTATTAAAGTTGGAAAGGTGAGAGCTTTCTCGTTATCCAATTTAACATTATCGAGTGACGTTTGGCAGTGGACAGTTTTTTGTGATTCTCTTCTGTGATAAATCTTCATAAAAGTCATCTGCTACAGTTTTTAATTAAAAAATAAAATATTGAAATTTTATGCTTAAAATAAAGATCAGATACCTTGCTATTGCTATTTAGTGATAGTCGCTCGAATTAATAAATCGAAAAAAATATTAACTAACTAAAATAGAAAGAAAAATAATTTTATGAGAACATATTGTTTATTATTCGGCTATTAATTTGATGGATGTCAAATTTACTATTTAAAGTTATTCATAATATCAATATTTTTACATAACTCATAAAATAAAAGTACAACCTCCATGATTAATCTCCAGTGATATTCCTCTATATATTGCTCAACGGTGCTGCTTATGTAATTAAGAAGATATAAGCTCTTTAAAACATTTGCGGGACTGTGAGTACTGCGGAACATAAGTCCAGCTCCTTGTAAAATAATATTCGTTACGTCATCGACTTCATTGTATGATAAGCCGCCACTCGTAACTGTCTCATCGAAGATGTCTCCCGAGATAAAGATGGGCTTACCAACCTTAACATATCGAATTAAAATTAAGTATATTACAAGTAGAATCTTTATTTTAAGGCGTATCAGAATCAATGAAAACCAGGTCTTCAACTCGGTCCTCATAGGACAGGATTTGAATCTGCACTTTCAGCTATCCGGGCGGACGCACTAACTTATTATGATAGCGAGACCTTAAAAAAATACGAGGAGAAATTCTACATAATTTATCCTAATATTTCTTTGGCTGCAAGATAATTGGAGGCAAGGGTTTTATTTCTAGTAAAATTTTCTTGAGATTAATAAATTTAGCAGTTTATTATTTACAAAAAGCAATATATTTAACTATCCATGAATATAACGGATACTAAGAAAAATTCCACTTACCCGCTTGCACTTTGCACATATACTTAGCTGTATAGCTTGCATTTGATTTATATTTAATATTGATTCAGATATGTATTCTCTAGCTAGCACAATACCATCAGTTGCCTGTGAAAAGAACATACATTTATTTTTTTACTATTTTATTCTATTTATCCAAATGTCTTAGTAATTTTATATCTTTTCTAACTTAATGAATACAGCAAACTTTAGTTCTTTCCTATCGTAAGTACTTAACCCGTTTAGCAAGTTTACCCAAGACTTTAGTGCATAGAATTCACATTTTCTGGATTTTTCTTTTATTTGTCTAACCCATAAAATATTTATAATGTATCAGCCAGCTTGCTTAGTGTGAGTATAAGTAAGATTTTAATAATGTGATTCTTCATGGAAGATTATACACTTAAGAGTGACGTTATGTTGTTGTTGAATACTCCTTTCATCAACAACATGAGTCTTCACTCAGAATACATCAAATAGGGTTGATGATGGGGTAAAATAAACGAAATCCCATTTATTTCGTTCGTTAGATTATTAAAATATAATTGCCACATATTTTTTTTACTTGTCAATCAACCAAATAATTACAAAGATTAAGCGCGTGTAAGTTTGGGAGTGGGGTCTCGGGACGTCACTACTAAGTAAAAATTTTACCAACATGTGACTTCTGGCGACACATTTCAAATCAATATAGCTCTTTAATGTTTTGATTGTGTGAAAAAAGAAAAAAGTCGTGTCCAATAATTTTTGATAATCTACCTGATAGGTGAAGAAAAAAAGTAAGTCATCATCCCTATTAAAATATTTGGTATGGACTGTGAACATTTTTACTGAATGTTATGTCGGGTATATGTTGTCGATATGTTTGGGTCGGTGTACGTACATACATATTTTTATATTAAGTAATTCTACCTCTAATATATCATCGAAATTGTCTAAGCCCTCTTGCTCGCAAATACTGCCGAATATGAGGGGCTTATGACATCCGACAAAGAAACTTTTGGCTCTATATGCAGTACTTGCTCGACGAATGGAATTAATTACTACGACGGCAAACTGAAAAGGAATTAAGACTGTCACAAGTATCAAGTGAGTTCAGAAACTTTTCTTTTAATACTTGTTCGATGTTGTTAGGCTCAAGGTTGGTTTTAAAAATAATAGTGATGGTTACTAGTCCCTTGTCTACAGTAATTTCCTAAGCTTTTGATATCTAAGAGGTTAGCAGCGGTGCTTGGACATTATATGATTTTCTCTTCTCCTTGTCCATCATGGAATAAAACATTAATTAAGTCTAATCGTGGCGCCAATGAAGTAAAATAAAAATATGTTGGTCTCCACTCCCGACTAGCTTATAAATGGAATTATTGAAGAATGGGCTTTAAAGGCCTTTTGGTCTTTGGGGCGGAAGGTTCTTGAACGGCGACCACGCATCAGAAGATGCTCAATGGGCAAGCCTCCTACGAGGTTGACTGACGATCTTGTGAAGGTCGCGAGAAGCCGTTAGATGCGAGTGGCGCAGGATCGGTGGAGATCCTTGGGGGAGGCCTATGCTCGTCGTGCGGCTGATATGACGATGACGACGGGATATAATCTTCATGCAATCTAGCTGATAAAGGGTAATAACTGAACAACTTTATTATATAACATTTAAAGTTAAAGAAGAAGTCAAACGGAAATATGAAATCTCATTGACAATTACCTCATTTTCTTTAGCATAATTAAGCAGGTTCAAGTCTTGGTTAGTTAATGGTGGTCTTTTCAATCTTAGGCCGCGGAAACAAACTACTTGGTAATTTGCTACACGACCATTCGATATTATTTCACACTTTATAGTTTGTTTATTGATTATTTCGGTGCATATTAAATTCAATGATGCCACGGGTATACATATTTCTTGTTTAGGCTTGATCATATCCATCATTTGTGGGTCATCTATATAAATTCGACTTAAGTCACATTTATTCCAGTACTTGTCGTCACAAGTGATTTCTACAACATGGCCTTTTTTGAAGTGTAAAGCTGAAGTGTTTAATTCCTGTTAAATTAAAAAGTAAGCATTCAAGAGCATCTCAGTATCTAAAATATGCATGAAATAATAATTATATTTCCGATTATTTACACTAATAAATAAACCACAGGTGTAAGTAAAGTTTATAAAGAACAACTTAATAACTTAATATGTTAGTGGAGCTAAGGACGCCATGAATTCAGAAACATCGTTTTTTAATATCTACACAGCTATGTGTGTTCATCGTAGGATGAAAGTATGAAAATACCTCTTTTATATAACCTGTTCGCACAAGTGCATTTGGCAAATCAATCATGGTGGCCACTGGCCAAGCGGAGACTTCATATTTCAGGCAGCAAAGTTCTATGGCAGATTTTAACATTTCGTGCATTACTACTTTTTCGTTTATATTGTGAGTCATCCTGAACCTTATAATCTTGAGTCCTGCTTCTAAGAAGTTTTGTACATCTATATCAGCAAGGGTATCTTCACCTGAAGGTTATATAAAATAATATAAATAATATTGTTTGTATTTATATTGGATAACAAGCAATCAATATGCTAGTAATGGATTTTGAATTTGAATTAATGTGTCTAGATCAACTTTTATTTAATGCTGTGACTGCAAGTGATGAGTTTCTTGCGTCCAATCTTCTCATGAGCTAGAATATTTCCTGAATGGGTGATAGAAAAAAATATTGGACGAGTAAAAACAGCTTTCAACGATTCAATTTGAATAAATTATAATTTCATTTGGTACTTGTGGAGAAATAAATAAAAACACTAAATACACTTCCATCTAAATTCATTTAGGATAATTATTTCAATTTGTTTCATAATTATATAACTTACAAAACGTAACTATGAAAGGAGTAAGCGTATACTGCTGCTCATGATCTTTGTAGAACGCTCCTGCCTCTGCACCGTCGTTATAACTAAAAAACTTTCTGGTGACAGACATATTAATTTATATTCGTGCATAAATCACAATGTACAAATAAAACTGTTTATAAAATAAATACTATTAAAAATACTGCAGCAATCAGCAATAGACTTTTAATACAGTGATCATAGATAATACAACTGTCAATACAGGAGCAGAGCAGAGAGCAGTAAATCTGACGTAATTTTTTATGATTTTACGAAAGTAATACTGTCAATACAAGAGCAGAGCAGAGAGCAGTAAATCTGACGTAATTTTTTATGATTTTACGAAAGTACGATTTTTTTACTAATTTCGTATTGCGTAAGTCCTGTACGTTTCTTTACTCATGTGGAAAGTAATTTCAAGACCAGTAGAAATATCGTTCATAATGCATTAAATGATGTCATTGTAATAGGTACCCGATGATTTTATCAAATATTTCTTAAGAAAAAAAAGGTAGGTTTCTTAACAAAAGTAAAATAAAATTTGTTTATAATCAAAATTTTTTGATTTAATATTTCTAGTTATGATTTTATTTATTTTTAAGCATTTAACTGCTAGATGTTAAAATCTAAAGAAAAGTTTACTAGAAAAAAATCCACGCGGACCAGGCAGCGGACGGGACTCGAACCCGCATCCTTCGCAATCCGGGCGAATGCACTGACCATTATGCTACCACGGCCCTATTAGCCGCGTCGAAATTTTCCTAGCCTTAAGCTGCAAGGCAGCGCCATCTCTTCGCATTGTAGGTAACCCACAATGTCAAATGAATACTTTTTCAACTATTAAACGTTCGAAAGAAGAAATAGCAATTATAAAGAAAAGTTTACTAGAAACAGTGTGACCAGATTCAGTATTTTAATACTTTTTCAGTATATTTCATTGATTTTTCCGAACATCAGTATATTTTCAGGTATATTGCTGGCTGTCAGTATTTTTGGGTATATTTTGGTAGATGTTATGGCAACACCATAGTGAGTGATCGTCTTTGCGACAATGTTTGCGGAATTCCCCGGAACGCGAACATTGGGGACTTCCCTGGATTTAGTTTACCTATACTTATACATGTTATCTATGAGTAAGTTACAGATATGACAAGAAATAGGCCGTTGTCGGCGTTGTAGTATTGTAATACTACATATACAATTATCAATCAATACATAGTATTAATCGGACTTGCAGAATGTATTTTCGCCTAAAACTTTACAACTGCTGGACCGATTTTAATGCGGTTTGCACTGTTAGATAGAGCGTGAAGAAATGAAGGAGGTTGTGTAAATTTTAATCCTTCGAAAAGGATGTTAAAATATAACTCTAATATTTATTGTGAGTACGTATGAATAAATAAAATGTGTTAAGAAAATCAGTATTTTTATTGGTATATCTGTCCTATGTAAGTCGGTATATTTCAGTATTTTTTTGAGGTGCCTCGGTATTTTCGTAAAATTTAATCTGGTCACACTGACTAGAAAAAAATCCACGCGGACCAGGCAGCGGACGGGACTCGAACCCGCATCCTTCGCAATCCGGGCGAATGCACTGACCATTATGCTACCACGGCCCTATTAGCCGCGTCGAAATTTTCCTAGCCTTAAGCTGCAAGGCAGCGCCATCTCTTCGCATTAAAATCGCAATAAAATCATAACTATATTTGCTATTTCTTCTTTCAAACGTTTAATACTTGAAAAAGTATTCATTTGACATTGTGGGTTACCTACAATGCGAAGAGATGGCGCTGCCTTGCAGCTTAAGGCTAGGAAAATTTCGACGCGGCTAATAGGGCCGTGGTAGCATAATGGTCAGTGCATTCGCCCGGATTGCTAAGGATGCGGGTTCGAGTCCCGTCCGCTGCCTGGTCCGCGTGGATTTTTTTCTAGTAAACTTTTCTTTAGATTTAATATTTCTATATTTTTTCCTGGAGTAAATAAGACAACGCATACTAGTAAAACTTACAGAAGTCTTTTAATATCATTAGATTACAGCGAACTAGGGTATCAAAACTCGGGAACAACACTATAAAATTGGGTTCTGCTTAAAAAAAATCTAATATAATTCTTACTCAGTTTTTAAACTGAGCTACAAAAATATTTCCTACTTCATATCCTACTAATGATATAAATGCGCAAGTTTGTATGCGTGTTTGTTACACTTTCCCGCTAAAACAGCTAAACGTATTTGGATGAAATTTGGCATCTCGTACATATATATTTTATCGCATATATTAACACATATAATACTTTCAATCCCGGAAACATCTTATGTTCCTGAGGGATTTTCAAAAAACTGAGTAAAACGCGGACGAAGGGGCTGGCAGAAGCTAGTAAGTTATATATTTTTTGCACAAATATAATATCAATTATTTATTAACACAGCTGACCAAAAACTAAAATATAACGAAGCTGTGTATTCGGATTCCTTCTATTTGCCTTGTTCGTGGGGCTAATGGACAAACACAGGGACATTGTTGATTTTGAGTTAGCTGGTGCTCGCGACGTTTCTTGTATCTTGCGATTTATTTTCGCTGGAGGCGAGGGAAATAAGACGGATCTGTTTATTTTTCTTTCGGTTGAAGCTGCGATGCTTTAAGCAATCGTTTGTTGCTTTTGAAGTATAAACGAATGTAATCTTTGTTTTTTTCTACTGAGAGATTTTTCTATTAAAAGTTTTATGTACTTATATAAATAGAGTCTTTCAACTTTTTTAATTTAAATATTATTTTTGAACGGTATTAGATTTATTGTAACGGAATTTGAGAAATATATATTATGAATTTGTATCTGAGGCGTAAGTGTATTCTGAGGAGTAATAGGTAGGCAAGCAACTCAGTGGATAAAATAAAATCACAATGATGAGCTTTTTCCAAGTTAATTTTCTCCCTAAAATATATTGGCATTAATAGCGATCACCCGCGACTTCGTCTGCGTTAACTTTAGTTTTTTGGAGATTCCACAGAAACCTAACATTTTCCGGAATAAAAGATATCCTATGTCTCATTCCTGGTCGTAAACTATATGTGTACCAAATTTTATGCAAAACCATACAGCCGTTTTGTGTGATTGAGTAACAAATATACAAACTTTCACATTTATAATATTGGCTGGATATAGTAAGATTGACACGCATGAGCCAAATTTATCATCCCCACTTCTTGGGCCCAAGCCGTTTGGCCTGTCTGGGTGGCTGTATCTGCATTGGCGAGATTAGAACTCACCAATTCGCACTGGGTCTGCGTGAATACCAAATAGTGGCAACATTAAAAGACTGTGGATGATTCTCTACGTAAGTATATAAAGATGATAGATAATAAAGTTTATATATTATAAGTATATTCTTTTTGAAAAGTGTATTTTTGTGTTTCCAAACTCAATGGCAGGTAGGTAAACATCAGTTACAAACGAAGCTCTTTATATATGGTCGTCTGAAGGTATTCCCTTAACACGGAGTTTCCTCTGTGATTTCGGCGACATCAAACCGTCTATTCCTTAAGGAATAGCCTATAAATTATGGAAAAAGAGGGGCTTGGACACGAGCCATTGTTGCCCAACTTTTTCAATGTTTTTCTGCTTGGGCAGCTTAAGTTGCGTCACATTATTCTGTGATGTTACAAAGGATAATGTATTAGGCATGTTTTCAGAAAAGTTTCAATAACTCATTTGTAGTATAATTAGGGGTATATTTTATTTTGTAGTTGTGTTGTATTTTTGTCGTATAACTGTCAGAAGTTTGCACAGATCTATTATTTCCAAATTACATCTAAAAACTATGATGTCAAAAACTGAGGCTTTAGTCTGTACATTAGTATGTATATTTTAAACTTTAATAAAACCTTAAGAAAATATAACTAGAAAAAAATCCACGCGGACCAGGCAACAGACGGGACTCAAACCCGCACCCTTCGCAATCCGGGCGAATGCACTGACCAATTATGCTACCGCGGCCCTCACGGACCGCGTCGAAATTCCTCTAGCCATTCTTAAGCTCCAAGGCAGCGACATCTCTTCGCATTATAGGTAACCCACAATGTCAAATGAATACTTTTACAAGTTATAATTTTTATTACTTTTAAAGCATGTAACTGCTTGATGTTTAAATCTAAAGAAAATATAACTAGAAAAAATTCCACGCGGACCAGGCAGCAGACGGGACTCGAACCCGCACCCTTCGCAATCCGGGCGAATGCACTGACCAATTATGCTACCGCGGCCCTCACGGACCGTGTCGAAATTCTTTCTAGCTATTCTTAAGCTGCAAGGCAGCGCCATCTCTTCGCATTATAGGTAAACCCACAATGTCAAATGAATACTTTTAGAAGTATTAAACATTTGAAAGAAGAAATAGCAATTATAGTTATAATTTTTATTACTTTTAAAGCATGTAACTGCTTGATGTTTAAATCTAAAGAAAATATAACTAGAAAAAATTCCACGCGGACCAGGCAGCAGACGGGACTCGAACCCGCACCCTTCGCAATCCGGGCGAATGCACTGACCAATTATGCTACCGCGGCCCTCACGGACCGTGTCGAAATTCTTTCTAGCCATTCTTAAGCTCCAAGGCAGCGACATCTCTTCGCATTATAGGTAACCCACAATGTCAAATGAATACTTTTACAAGTTATAATTTTTATTACTTTTAAAGCATGTAACTGCTTGATGTTTAAATCTAAAGAAAATATAACTAGAAAAAATTCCACGCGGACCAGGCAGCAGACGGGACTCGAACCCGCACCCTTCGCAATCCGGGCGAATGCACTGACCAATTATGCTACCGCGGCCCTCACGGACCGTGTCGAAATTCTTTCTAGCTATTCTTAAGCTGCAAGGCAGCGCCATCTCTTCGCATTATAGGTAAACCCACAATGTCAAATGAATACTTTTACAAGTATTAAACATTTGAAAGAAGAAATAGCAATTATAGTTATAATTTTTATTACTTTTAAAGCATGTAACTGCTTGATGTTTAAATCTAAAGAAAATATAACTAGAAAAAATTCCACGCGGACCAGGCAGCAGACGGGACTCGAACCCGCACCCTTCGCAATCCGGGCGAATGCACTGACCAATTATGCTACCGCGGCCCTCACGGACCGTGTCGAAATTCTTTCTAGCTATTCTTAAGCTGCAAGGCAGCGCTATAATGCGAAGAGATGGCGCTGCCTTGCAGCTTAAGAATAGCTAGAAAGAATTTCGACACGGTCCGTGAGGGCCG